AACATGCCTTTATTTAATTTGTCTTTGAATATCGATATTAATTGGATGTCCGAAAATATGAATAATTGTTGTCATTATTTTGGACAAAATACAATTATTCCTTAATACAATCATGGCAGAATTAAAAATTGAAATACTAGTGACGGCGACATGTTCAAGATTCAAGATTCAAGATTTGTTTATTTCTTTCCACTTGCATAAAAAAACATTTCATTCAGTAACAGTAGTTACAAGTTCATCGTAAACTAGCATAAAAACATTAACAATGAAACAGTTATAAAGACTTTAACAAATGTGGAAAAAGAGGTGGTCTGTTAAAAAAGCACAGCTTGTTAAAACACAGATCACCTTTACAGAAACAACATTTTTTTTAAAGAAGTAGGTTATATTACAGGGGGAGGGGGACTAATACTAATCTAGTTACCTATACAGACTATAAATAAATATCAGATCTACCACTAATTTACAAAATATGGTAGACTAAAAAAGAAAACAGAATAAAGATAATGGAAAAGTAAAGAAATAGGGGAAGGAGGATAATGTACAACACGGGGGGGGGACAATGCTATTCCAGTTACCTATATTGAATACTAATAAAAAATCAGATCTATTCACTGTAGGTGTACAGTAGATGAAATTTCAGCTTACGTTTGAAGACAGAAGAGCTTACAGACTGCCTAATAGAACAGTCTAAAGAGTTCCAATACTTTGGTCCAGTATGTGCAAGTGTATTAATCCTAAGCTGAGTTCTAGCTGATGATACATGGTATAAGGCAGCCTGCCTAGTAGAGTATTTGTGTATTTGGTTATTCTTTACAAAAATAGATACTATTGACATGGGAGCTTCACCCTTCTCCAACTGATACATAAGATAACCCAGATATAGAAAATATATATCTTTTACCTTCAGCATTTTATTTTCGTAAAATAGCTTGTCAGTGTGAGCACGCCAATCAGCTGCCGAAATAATTCTCACTGCTCTCTTTTGAATGAGCAGAATTTTATTTAAGTAGGATTTGGCTGAGGCACCCCAGGCTAGCACACCATAATTTAAGTATGGCAAAATTAAGGAACAGTACAACATGCTAAGTACTTTTCTTGGGAATACAAACTTCAATTTGTTGATCATACCAACATTTCTAGAGAGCACTTTACTTAAATGAGTAGTATGCATCTTCCAAGTCAATTTATCATCAATGTGGAGACCTAAAAATTTAATAAATGAGACCTTTTCAATATTTACCTGATCAACGACTACGTTACCAGGCATTACTGTTTCACTATTACTGAATAACATATGTTTAGTTTTTAATAAGTTTAGTGACAGTTTATTTGCATGAATCCATTTAGTCAAAACACAAAGCTCTCTATTTACAGTTTCTAAAAGAGTATTTAAGTTTCTATGAGAACAGAATACACTTGTATCGTCTGCAAATAGCAAAAAAGAAAACGTCTCTGAGGATTTTGGAAAATCATTTACATATAAAATAAAAAGCAGGGGACCCAAAAGGGAACCTTGAGGTACTCCACACGTGACGGGTAACATATCTGAACAAATTTCGCCGAGCTGCACAAATTGCTGTCTGTTACTAAGATAACTTCTAAACCATTCGAGTGCAGGTCCTCTTACCCCATAATAAGAGAGCTTGTGCAACAAAATATTATGGTTCACCGTATCAAAAGCTTTGGAATAATCCAAAAATATACCAACCGTATGGAGGTGTTTATCAAGTGCCGAAGATATTTTGTCTAAAAGACATAAAACAGCATGAGAAGTTGTGTGTTTCTCGCGAAAACCAAACTGAGAATTTGAGAAAACTTGACACGACTTCAAAAACTTTATCAATCTAATATATACAAGCTTTTCCAAAATCTTGGAGAAGACAGTAAGTAGAGAAATTGGTCTATAATTACCAGTTTCTACAGGGTTCCCTTTTTTATATATAGGCACAACTTTAGCTATTTTCATTTTTTTAGGAACAATTCCATGCATTAAAGACAAGTTATAAATGTGAGTGAGAGGTACGACTACAAATTAAATTACTTCTTTTATCAAATCATTAGTTATACCATCATATCCAGGGCTCTTCTTCCTTTTCAAGCCACTTACAACATCTATAACCTCAGAATTCACTACAGGAACAAAAAATAAAGACTTTTCATTTGGACTGGTTAAATAATTTCCATAGGTTTCCTGTATATCAGGTATGGAGCTAGACAGAGTAGCACCAATGTTAGAAAAATATTCATTAAATGCTTCACACATAAGTTTCTTGTCTTCAATAAGACCATCCTTCCAGGTGAGTTTTGTAATACTCTGTAGTTTAGGATTGGTTTTCAAGACATTTCGAATAACTTTCCATGTACCTTTAACATTATTACACGTAGACTGGAATTGAAATTGATAATAGTCTTTCTTTGCTTGGCGCAGAGCAGAAGTCAATATATTTCTATAGTTATTTCTATCGCAATGTGGGTTAAAATTGAGGAAAATCAATATGGGACAGATGTCGTTATACCTCCAGGAACATAGAACGTTCCTTGGACGTTAATTCTTTATGCGCCACCTTCTTTGTCTAAATAGGTACGTTTAACAAAATCTTTAACTTTATTTCAGGACTTGGAGTATCAAATTACTCCTTATAGGTGATAAAAAGGCTGTCATGTAACCGATCAAGACCAGAAGTGGGTTATGCGTAATTATGCACTGCTACAACTTTTTTGTTATTAGGCACTCGTGGCAATGGAAGTTTACTAAATGTTCCTTTTTTTAAATACTTCCCGATAACGGTATGTGTTTCCTGGGTCTAAATTTAATCATATTTGAGAAACACATAAATAAAAAGACTTACACGCAAGTGAAATCAAAGGTGTTATAGTCAACCCTGCACTCGCCGTTGTTCTTGCAGGGCATAGGGGAACAGAGTGCCTCCAGATCTGTGAGGGATTGACATGTTTATATGTGTTATATGTATGGTAGGCCTATACACCGCATATAATAATTGTGAAACAACTGACATATCAGTGCGTTTTTATTGATTAATCTGATATTCAGTTTGAATGAATCGTGTGGAAACGAAATCAAAATGAAATGTTGCGGTTTTCGACGTACGTACACTTTAGCAATTTGTGTACGGATATTCTGAAAAAAGGGATGTGGGGATTGTCTTCAAGCTGTCCCCCTTTGAAAATATCTTGCCATTCACGGCATTATCGTTTTTTGTATTAAATGAAAGGGAAAAAGGGAATTATAAGAATATAGATATACTAGGTTGATTAACTGAATATCTTTTGTTGTACCAGGGTCTGAATTTTTATTGTAGATCTTACTCTTTAATGGTAGGATAACCAGAATTATTGATGGTAATTATTATTCATCCAAACAGGAAAGAGCATGCAGCATTCTCACAGGAAAAATGAAAAGCAAAGTGTTGCTAGAAAGAGCATTATACACAGACTTAGAAATACAAAATAATGTAAGTTTATGCTACCTACCTGTTACATCAACTGAAACAACGCTAAATTCATCCACTTCTCGAAGAGCTTTTAAGATCTGTTTTATCAAACTTTCGACAGTTACATCTGACTTGTACATAACGCCTATGAGTAAGTTCATTTGCATCTCGCCGTTTGATAAACTCTGAGCGTTGATGGTTGTCACGTCAACAAAATATGTTGTATTAATCCCGAGTATTGCCGATTCAAACTGGTACAGTTCACGCGTTTGAAGGGAAAAGAAAGAGAGAAGACGTGTACAATGTATTACACCGTATTAAATTATGTTATAAAAATTATGTTGAGTTATGAACATGCATTGTCTTCTAGGAAGTTTACCAAAGCGATTTCCGTAAGCAAAATTTCGGTCTAGTGCTCCTTCTACAAAATAGTCAGAAGGCCGTCTAAACCCTACAGCCCACGAAACAGACAACTTCTTGGAGAATTCACTTTATAACTGACATTGTCGATTTCGTGTGATGTCGATTTCGTGTGATGTCGGTCTCGTGGGCTGTAAGTCTCGTGGGCTGTAAGTCTCTTGGGCTGTAAGTCTCGTGTGATGTCGGTCTCGGGTGATGTAGGTCTCGTGGGCTGTAAGTCTCGTGGGCTGTAAGTCTCGTGGGCTGTAGGTCTCGTGGACTGTAAGTCTCGTGTGATGTAGGTCTCGTGGGCTGTAAGTCTCGTGGGCTGTAAGTCTCGTGGGCTGTAAGTCTCTTGGGCTGTAAGTCTCGTGTGATGTCGGTCTCGGGTGATGTAGGTCTCGTGGGCTGTAAGTCTCGTGGGCTGTAAGTCTCGTGGGCTGTAAGTCTCGTGGACTGTAAGTCTCGTGTGATGTAGGTCTCGTGGGCTGTAAGTCTCGTGGGCTGTAAGTCTCGTGGGCTGTAAGTCTCGTGGACTGTAAGTCTCGTGGGCTGTAGGTCTCGTGGGCTGTAAGTCTCGTGGGCTGTAAGTCTCGTGTGATGTAGGTCTCGATCGTGGGCTGTAGGTCTCGTGGGCTGTAAGTCTCGTGTGATGTAAGTCTCGTGTGATGTCGGTCTCGTGGGTTGTACGTCTCGTGGGCTTTAAGTCTCGTGTGATGTCGGTCTCGTGTGCAATCGGTCTCGTGGGCTGTCGGTATGTCTCGGACATGAACTTTCTTAGATAATTGCAACTGAGGAGGCTTTGGTGTACCATGAGTATCTTACCGTTTCCTGGACTGTTATAACATCTTGATTGTCCAAGGGCAAAGTCTCGCGTCTTTTTCTTCGATCGTCCATGATTACCGTGGCATTTGAGACTACACCTGTTCAAAATTTGGGATAAACGTAATTTTAATATTCAATTTCACAATAGACATACCCCTGCTTCACAATTATGTAGGGTCAATTCGTATTGATGAGTCATAGCCATATAACTTGAGCCCAAATAGAAATTAATTCCTGTTCGTTTATTTTTGAAAACTACCGTAAATAACAAATAACTGATTTACATCGGGTATTTAAGCAATTATTATGCCCATATCATTTTCATTCTGCATTTAAAAAATTCAAAAATTTTCCTTCTTAAATTTATTTGACAGATTATGTTATTTAAAAGAGTGAGATAATTATATCGATGAGTACGTGGTAATCTTACAGAGAAGGAGTCCCCTAACAAAAAGCTCCCAGGCTTAAACCACAAGGCATTAACCGTCAAGTACATAGTCCCTTGGTTAGGACGTATTTTTATTTCCACGAGAGTTGCCAAAGCTGTTGTATAGGTTGTTTCCTTAAATATATTTGAATTGCAAAAAAATGGGGACCCCATATAAACGGCGTTGATATCCAGAGTGTTCCATCCCACAAGTAGAAAATAAATGAATTGAATAAAAGAGATAACTTTGAACTTGAAATTCTTACTTCCACAGTTAGGGAGTCCCTTTTTCCATGATCCTGTAGCGTTACACGTGACCGTACGAACACTGTCACCGGTTTCACTGCATTTGAAGCTACAGTTTGTCCCTGGTTTATCACAGGTCGAGTCAGCTACATCCATTGGCACTGTACATTCTATCGCTAAAGGATTATGAATGTTAAGCAGTAAATTATGTTAAAGTCATTCGTGCAGACCAGGCAGTTCGATGCCACAGGTGGAAAATAAATTAGGAAAAAAAATAAATAATTAGAAAAAGATGATTATAAAGAATGATCGCGTATCGTGATTGTTAAGGATCTTCAAAATAGTAGACCTACAGATGAATCTCTAGCTAAAAATCACAATGTGTAAAGCACTTCACAAAGGTTTGTGTATATTGGATATCATTATTCGTATTATAAGATGGGTAGAAGAATCCCTGCAATTTGATTGGTCAATTACCATGTAATTATTTTTACATTGAGACAACTTTAGATGTTATAAACGTTGAATTTACTACGGCGAAAAGTTATTATATTTCAATGCTAGAAAAGAAAAAAGAAAAAATTGGTTTCCATTTTTGGCCAAATATTTTAGGCCTACTAGAAACATCTGTTTGGAAAGATGTATTTCAGTTCAAATTTAATAACATAAGAGACAATAAGATCAAACAATATAATTTTTAATTAATTCATAGAATATTGCCATCTAAAGACAATCTCTTTATATGGAAAATCGTACAGTCTAACGAATGTGAAATTTGTCGTGAAAAAGAAACTATCGAACATTTTATATTTCGTTGCAAGAAATTAAGAGTTTTCTGGAAAATTATCTCAAGAATTATATATTTCATTTTTAAAATAGAAATTGAAATTGATATGAAAATGTTATTGATTGGATATAAAATACATAACAGAAAATTTACTTTACTTATTTTTTGGATAAATTATGCTCAACTGGTTATATACAAAGACTACGTAAAGCGGAACTTTGGAGAAGTACCAACCAATCCAAAGAGGTTAATAAATAATTTTATTTCATCATTAAAATGTTATTTGAAATACAAAGAAAATATAAAATACTTCGATATTGAGGAAGTTAAGAAAGTATTAGAAATGTTAAAATGATAATTTTAAGATATTATGTTGATCTTGTATATAATTCATGTTTCATTTTACATGTTTTGTAAATAATATATATGTATTTTGAAATGGAACAATAAAGTCCCTCTGAAGAGGTAAAGAGAAAAAAAAAAAATATTTTTACTGGATGCACGCGATATCGGCGATCGATACCATCGATATCCTCTGTTTGTTTAATAATTCTCTTTTTGTTTTCTCTTTTTTTTAACAATTTTGTTCTAATAATTTTTTTTTTTTAAATGATTTTGTTGATGATAATTATTTGTTTTTCGTGTTTTTTGATAATTATAATCTGTTCACAGTTTAATGTGCACTGACAATTTTTTTTTTTTTTTTTTTTAATTTCATGATCATGCGTCCGGTAATTACCAGACGCATGATTTTGCCATGCATGCGGTAAATCTGTAAATTAACAAAATTTTGTATTTCTGACAATTTTTGGGGCCCCATCTTATAAAACAGATGATGCACAGGTTTAATTTGTGGGTCGGTGGAGTTGTGTGTACGCGGTACCTTTGAATTTGGTCTAAAACCATTCAAAGGTACCTTGTTCACACAATCCCTACCGACGCACTCAAACCTGTGCATCATTTGTATACTGTTGTTATCACTATCATCATTATCATCATCATCATCATTAGCATACCGATTGAATTAATTGTATATATCAGGATTGATCAATAATCTTTTACCAGATCCTGTCGGTGAGGGGGTTGAGGATAATGATGATGTAGACATCGATTCTGTTTGAGGGTTAGAAGCTGAAGTACCGGTAGATGGTACGGTCACTGCGTGAGAAGAGCAAAGACAATCTCAGGATTAATATGATGTTTCAGAATTCATAATTTCGTCTTTCTTTTTTTGAAAACGGACATACACTAAAGATTATCCTATAATTCCTTGTAACTTGATTAAGAATGATATAAATATTTGTTTTTGTTTAGCAAAGAAAAGAAAACATGTACACTTGTATAATTACTTTTGTATACTTTGTAAAATGTTTTTTTGTAATTTACTTAGTAAAATGGAAATAAAGCTCGAACTTTAACTTAAACCTTGAACTAAATTATTAAATTATTTTATCTTACTTTGTTTACACAATTATACAAAAATAGGGTTCAAAAGCACTGAATCCAATAACCGGGGTAATAGTATATTTGTAAAGCGCTTAGAGACATTTGTATTAAGTGCTATATAAAAATTAAATATTATTATTATTATTATTATTATTATTATTATTAATAAATTAACGATGGCTCCGTAGTAGAGCGGTTGTCTCGTATACCAGAGGTCCCGGGTTCGAATCTAAGTCAATACACTCATGTCCTTTGGTAAGGTATCGATTCCCATTACCGCGTCCAACGGAGAGGACTTATAGCCGTCAGTCACAGCTTACTTACATGCAGCATACATGCATTCATAGCAATCAGGTAGAACAATCAACACCATGATGAGTATTATCACTTTTTTATGAATTTCATCATGATTATTATTATGATTAATGTATATCATCACTAGCATTATCATTTTGGTATCATTATCGTTATGATTATCATGATTATTGTTATTATTATTGTTGTTGTTGTTATTATTATTTTAATTATTATTATCATTATCATGTCTTGTTTATCATTATTTTAATATCATCATTAGAATTAGTAGTAACATTAGTAAAAGTAGTAGTATTAAAAGTATTATAGTAGTAGTTACATGATCATCATTAGTATTATTACCATCATCATTAGTATTAATATTATTATTAATATCATCAACATTTTCATTATTATCATTATTATCATCATCATCATCATCAATTTCATACCAAATTGAATTAATTGTAGGATTGATCAATAATCTTTTACCAGATCCTGTCGGTGAGGGGGTTGAGGATAATGATGATGTAGACATCGATTCTGTTTGAGGGTTAGAAGCTGAAGTACCGGTAGATGGTACGGTCACTGCGTGAGAAGAACAAAGACAATCTCAGGATTAATATGATGTTTCAGAATTCATAATTTCGTATTTCTTTTTATGAAAACGAACATACACTAAAGATTATCCTTTAATTCCTTGTAACTTGATTAAGAATTATATAAATATATTTTTTTGTTTAGCAAAGATAAAAAAACATGTACACTTGCATAATTACTTGTGTATACTTTGTAAAAGAAAATTGTAATTTACTTTGTAAAATGGAAATAAAGCTCGAACTTGAACTTGTACTTGATCTTGAATTTGAACAAAAAATATTAAATTATTGTCAATATCTTACTTTATTTACACAATTATACAAAAATTGGGTTCAAAAGCTTAAGGAACAATGACTCCGTGGTAGAGCGGGTGTCTCGTATACCCGAGGTCCAAGGTTCGAATCTAATTCAATACGCTCATGTCCTTTGGTAAGGTATTAATTCCCGTTACTGCGTCCATCGGAGAGGACTTATAGCCGTCAGTCACTTGGTTGCTTACTTACATGCAACATACATGCATTCATAGCAGTCAGGCAGAACAATAAAGATCTTCTTTAGTATTATCACTTGTTTAATGAATTTCATCATGATTATTATAATGATTAATGTATATCATCACTAGTATTATCATTTTGGTATCATTATCGTTATGATTATTATTATTATCATGTCTTATTTATCATTATTTTAGTAGTAGTAACACGATCATCATTATTATTATTATCATCATAATTAGTATTAATAATATTAATAATATTATCATTATTATTATCATTATTATCACAATCATTATCATCACCATCATCATCATCATCATTATACCAAATTGATTTAATTGTATATCAGGAATAATCAATCTTCTTTTACCAGGTCCTGTCGGTGAGGGGGTTGATGATGGTGAAGACATCGATGCCGTTGGAGGGTTGGAAGCTGAAGTAGCGGTAGATAATAAGGTCACTATGTGAGAAGAACAAAGATAATCTCAGGATTAATATGATATTTCAACAGTCATAATTTCATATTTCTTTTCATGAAAACGGAGACACACTAAAAATTATCCTATAATTCCTTGTAACTTGATTAACAATAATATAATTTTTTTTTTGTTTAGCAAAGAAAAAACAAACATGTACACTTGTATAATTACTTTTGTATACTTCGTAAAATGGAAATAAAGCTCGAACTTGAACTTGAACTTGAACTTGAAGTTGAACTAAAATATTAAATTATTTTCAATATCTTACTTTATTTACACATTAATACAAAAATAGGGTTCAAAAGCTTAAGGAACGATGGCTCCGTGGATATCAGGATTGATCAATAATCTTTTACCAGGTTCTGTCGATGAGGGGGTTGATGATGGTGAAGACATCAATCCCGTTGGAGTGTTAGAAGCTGGAGTACCGGTAGATGGTACGGTCACTGTGTGAGAAGAACATAGATAATATCAGGATTATTATGATATTTCACCATTCATAGATTCTGGTTTTTCGTTTTTTATTAAATTGGACACACACAACAGATAAAAATATGAAATGATTTTGAAAATCATTTACAAAATGACACAAAAATATGGTGTAAAAAGGAAAAGGTGCAATGGCTCAGTAGTAGAGAAGTGATCTCGTAAACAGAGGGTCCCGGGTTCGAAACCAAGGTAATGCAGTGATCCTCTTTACTAGTTCCCTCAGAGATGACTTAAAGCCGTCGGTCTGTTGGTAGCTTACTTATATGCAGCATACATGCTTTCATAGCAATTAGGTAAAGGTCATGATCATCATTATCATTATCATGTTAAATTGATCGCTATCTAAATATTGTTATCATTATTAGTAGTATTAGTAGTAGTAGTAGTAGTATATAGTAGTCGTTTCATGAATATCATTATTATTATTATTATTATCATCATTAACATCATCATCATTATTATTATTATCATTATCATCATCTTCACCATTATGCCAATTGAGTTAATTGTATATCAGGAATAATCAATAATCTTTTACCAGGTTCTGTCGATGAGGGGGTTGATGATGGTGAAGAAACCGATGCCGTTGGAGTGTTAGAAGCTGGAGTACCGGTAGATGATACGGTCACTGTGTGAGAAGAACATAGATAATATCAGGATTATTATGATATTTTGGTAGTCATAATTTTGTATTTATTTTTATGAAAATGGAGACACACAACAAGTCAAAATATTAAATGATTTTGTGTTTTTTTCATTACACAATACATTGTTGCTCATCGTATATTCAACCTGATAAAAACTTAAACAATCAATGCATAGCCAAAATTAAGAATGTGAAACTCAGTTACATGTATTTAAAAAAAAAGGGGGAATTGTCGACGCTAATGGTATTGAAAATGTATATTATTAGACCTACGCTGTTCAAAAATAATGCAAACGTATATACATACAGCAAGTTTCAGGAAGAAATGAAACGACAAAGCGTAATAACTATAACAAACAAACAAGTGACGAACTTGAATGACGCTTTGATGAAATCGATTAAAAAGGGACGAAATTTTGCAAGAGAGCTGCTGTGAATGACCAACTTGATTTTACTTTGACAAAATTGGACGTAAAAGATTTTTAAAAATTGGACAAAGTTCCAAAATGAATGACCAAAGACGAAATTGACTGTTTTATAAAAGGGAAGTTTCGGGATGAGATTGAATAAAAACGGTTTGAAACTGAGTGAAAAACGGAAAGAAAACCTATAATAATCAATATTATATCCTAAATCAAAAATATATTGGTTTTTGATTTGTTGAGAGCTCTTCACATGACCAGAAATATTTCAATCATTTTAAGGTTGCCCTGAAAAAGTAGGGAATTGAAAACAAAAATTGATAAAGTTCGTTAAATTCAGGAAAAAATTGTTAAAATGTTTAAAACATTATATTTGCAATTAATTGTTGATGCAGGATATAAAACAAATACCCCCTGCCTTCTTTCCGAGGCACTCGGTGACTCCAAAGGTACTATTTGTTTCGGGGCTGCGCCCCTAACCTTATTGTTTCATACAGAGGGATTCGAAATCACCTTAACAATTTGCGAACTACCTTGAAAAAGAAGTATTATGAAACTGGTGTTCGAGAAAATGAGACAAACCCCCGGAAACTTTGGAAACTCCTAAAATCTTTTAATGCATTAATATGTAAATGATATACATGGTCGGAAGATCAAAGGAGTCGTTGAAGCTGATAAATCTGTTATTGTAAACGAGTTAAACAATCATTTTGTCTCTTTTGGTGTCCCTTTTGGTGTAAGTAAAAATGATTCCCAGAGTGATCAAGGTGATGCTGGTAGATACTTTTAATCACTCCCTACCGGATTTATTTTTGATGAAATAGGTGATGGTTTTGTCCTCAATGAGTTGCAAAGATTGCAAACCAATAAATCATCTGGCCTTCATAGGATTAGTGGTCTACTGAGAAAAATAGCTACGCCGGTTATTTACAAGCACCTTACTAAATTCTTCAACTTGTCAACTTGTACAGCAATATAGTTCACACAAGTACCGACTGAAGAAATTACTCAAGTGGGTTAGCATTAAAAATAGGTGAAATTATTTCAAATGCAAAATGATTTATTCTGTTTTGGAAAATCAAACTCCGGTCTATATTTTACAAAAGATTAAAAAATCCCAATATGTACATAACATTAGAACGCGCAGATTAATCTATTGGTGTGTGAGAGATAAACGCACGTGTGCGTACTCCCATATACATCTTTCTGTGTACAGTGCTTGTAACTTTACAAAGACTGGGCCAAATTTCTTATCATTTTGATGATTCCAGAACCTTGCAGTACACACCAATACTTATATGCTAGATAATCAACCTTTTCTGATCGATTCCACAACGTTTCTTTCACAATGCAACCGCATGACCATAACTGGTCTTTATCTTTAATAAATGAACTGGTCCATTATGTTGTTTTTTGTTTCCTTTCCTTTGTTCGAAAATGTTGTACCTAAATTTATTTTGTCTCGATTTGTATTGTTTACATCGATATGTTTGCAAATGTTGTATTTTTGTTGTAGGGCCTCCACGGAAAACAGTATTTAACTACTGATGGAGCCAATAAATAAATAAAAGATCAATCATGAACATTCTGGTACTGTACTACGAAAGGAAGAGATGTTTATCGCGTTGCTTAATATGTTCAATAGTAATACACGACGTATATATTATGGAAACGACTTACCGTTCTGGCAGTTCCTGTCTTCATATCCAGGTACACAGGTACAATTATAGTCATTTAAGAGATCTACACATGTACCGTTGTTAACACACGGGTTAGAAGCACATTCATCCGTCTCTGATAAAAGTAAGAAGAAATAGAAATGTATTTTAAACACAAAGTGCAAGTTGCATTATCTTGACTGTATATGAACAGTGCTTGCATTTCCATTTTCTTGATCTCGTTCTTTAACAATTCAGTGTGTTTTATTTTACGTATATTTGAATGATTTGCTACTTGTTAATTGTATCGCGAACATTTCTGGTACGGTCCTACAAAAGAAAGAGTATTGCTTTGCTTTAGTACCTTTATGTTTGAGGGGACCAGGCTGGTAAAATACAGTGAAATGCAAGTTGATAAAGAATTCTTAATAAATCATTACTTGATATAGCAAACTACTATGAACCATATATTTCTGGAAAGCTGAGACAATAATTTGTTTTGAGAAAGTTATTTTTCTCATTAAATATGCAAATTATATACAAATTGCTCAAGGACATGACTATTAAAAAAATATGTAGTGCTTGTCCTTTGTACTACTACTGTAATTGTAATAACGATATCAAGGCACTTTTTGTGATTTTGATAGTACATTTGTATGCACAACGATCCTATGACACCGTTTGTATAATTTTCATCATTTACATAAAATTATAATATTTCAAAGAAAAAACAGAAACTCGAATGATTTTTGGAAATAATTTTGCTTGTGACGTATGTATGTGCAAAAACCATGATAGGATTGTTTGTTGTATGAAAACTTATGATTCTGCCAATTTTGAAATAATTCTGATGAATTTTTTTCAAGTTACAGCATTTTTTGTCAAAAATTTATAATTCAGAGATAATTAGCATATTATAAAGGTACTTCAAACACAGTTTCCTACAATAAATTGTATCCAAAATGGGATAACTTGGCCTGCAGTCGCGAGTTCAGTTGCACTAGAATGCCTCCATGGAGGCAGCTTTCTTAGCATGTACTCAAATGCACTGAACGTACAAGGCCAATAGATGGCAGCAAACACATTAGTACCCTGTCAGTTACATCCAGAGGTCCATTGCAACACTAAAAAGTGTACAATTTTGACTGTTTTTTTTTGAATAATTTTGGACCAAAATTATTCACTTCCGGTCTGATTATTGACTTTCCTGAAATTTTCTTTGCCCTAAAATACAATCGAATACTACAGAATATCATGAAAACAGCAATTGAAAAATGAAGAGCATAATCAAACTAGTACTTAAACACTAAAAACAAAAATTGAGATTTTTTTTTCTTTTTTAAACTAGACTGGCCCCCTTAATAACCATACACAACGTAAAGAATTACGAAAACGACTTACCTTTCTGGCAGTTCTTGCCTTCATATCCAGGTAGACAGATACAATTATAGTCATTTAAGAGATCTTCACATGTACCGTTGTTAACACACGGGTTAGAAGCACATTCATCCGTCTCTGATAAAAGTAAGAAGAAATAGAAATGTATTTTAAACACAAAGTGCAAGTTGCATTAATTCGACTGTATGAACAGTGCATGTATTTTTATTGTCTTGATCTCATTCTTTAACAATTCAGTATGTTGTATTCACATATATTTTAATGATTTGCTATTTGTTAATTGTATCGCGAACATTTCTGGTACGGTACTACGAAATAGTATTGCTTTGCTTTAGTACCTTTATGTTTGAGGGGACCAGTCTGGTAAAATACAGTGAAATGCAAATTGATACAGTATTCGTAATAGATCATTACGTGATATTAATAGTAAACTACTATGAACCATATATTTCTGGAGAGTTGAGGCAATGGAGAATCTAAAACATTCTGAGAAAGTTATTTATCTCATTTGATATGCAAATTACTCAAGGACATGAATATTCAAAAAAATATTGTAGTGCTGGTTCTTTGTACTAGTACTGTAATTGTAATAACGATATCAAGGCACTTTTTTGTGATTTTGATAGTACATTTATATGCACAACAATCCTATGACACCATTTGTATAATTTTCATCATTTACATAAAATTATAATATTTCAAAGAAAAAACAGAAACTCGAATGATTTTTGAAAATTATTTTGCTTGTGACGTTAGTATGTTGCAAAAACCATGATAGGATTGTTTGTTGCATAAAAACTTATGTTTTTGCCAATTTTGAAATAATTCTGATTAATATTTTTCAAGTTACAGCATTTTTTGTCAAAAAATTATGATTCAGATATAATTAGCATATTATGAAGGTACTACAAACACAGTTTCCTACAATAAATTTTATCCAAAATGGGATAACTTGGCCTGCAGTCGCGAGTTCAGTTGCACTAGAGTGCCTCCATGGAGGCAGCTTTCTTAGCATGTACTCAAATGCACTGAACGTACAAGGCCAATAGATGGCAGCAAACACATTAGTACCCTGTCAGTTACATCTAAAGGTCCATTGCAACACTAAAAGGTGTACAATTTTGACTGTTTTTAAATAATTTTGGACCAAAATTTTCTTTGCCCTACAAATACTACAGAACATGATGAAAACAGCAATTGATAAATGAAGAGCATAATCAAACTACTACTAAAACACTAAAAACAAAAATTTAAGAGATCTACACATGTACCATTGTTATCACACGGGTTAGAAGCACATTCATCCGGTTTTGATAAAAGTAGGAGGTCACAAAAGTAGAGATCAGAAAGTGCAATTGGCCTAATTTGTGGACAAAATATGATAGTAGACTAGCCAAGACGTATGTATACATTATTTTGGGGGGGAGGGCATATATTTAGGTGTAAACAGTGGTGTTAGGATGGGTTCAGGTATAATTGTCTCACTGGTGCATTGGAGACCTTCGGGGGAGAAACAGTAAAAGCAGGGTGTGAGAGGGGGTCGTAAAACCTTCTTCTCATAACGCATGGTCCCTTAATCTCCCCTCCCCCCTCCCCCATCCCTTTCCCTCTACCCTTCTCCCCCTTTTCCTCCTCTTCCCTCTCTCTGTCCATTTTCTTTCTCTCTCTCTGTCTCAGAGTTTGTGTGTCTCTCCCCTCTTCTCTTCTTTCTTTCTTTCATTTGTCATCACCAGTTGATGGGAAGAGGGTACGTGCTTCTCATTGGTCTATAGCTACGCCACTATAGATATACTTCTACTTCTACGACGATACTCAGTAGGATCCATAAGTCAGGATGTAGTGCTGAGGAATAAACTATCTAGTTCTTGGTCTAGATGCTTGGTGGCAGCGCTCCCTTGAGGCCCTCCCTTGAAGCATAGGAAAAAGAATTTGAACTTTCTGAGAAAAGTTAGGGGATATTCATGAAAAATCTTACCATTGCACGATGGAATGTCAGGTGTAAACATTCCTATTTTACAGATGATGGATTTATTGTGAGTGATGGTGTATCCTGCGTCACACTTAAACATGCACACTGTATTACATGGTACATTAGCATTGGTCTCGCAGGTGTCATTAATCAGCGATGTGAGGTTCCCAGGTAGTTCCCCGACAGAGCAATCAGCTTCATATGGAAACGAGATGGAAATAATCAGAGCGGTAAATATAGACACTGTATTACAACTATTGGCTTTCAACTATTTTTGTTCTCGATCACATAGAATACTTTTAAAAGACAAAATATCATTTTAATTTTAATTTAGCATTTCAGCTGATTACATAAGGGAAAAGCGTGTGTATTCCAACAATAGCTTTAGGTAACACCCAAAGATGTAAGGAAGAGCGTCGAGAGAGGGTGGTATCACCCCTAGTCTATGTGTATATAACAATACGACTATGGGAGTCGTCCATTCATTAACATTTTATTAAAGACGGCTTTAATTTAATTCTAACATATCAATCGTGTTAACAATCATTTCGTTGAATATTTACACAAAGTTGCGCAATCAGTCGGAACAAGCTGAATTCAAAAACGAGGGGGAAATCAGAGGTATACTGGATATCCCATATATCTCTATCACGTTATTTATTATTGCAATAAAAACGTTGATACTTACTATCGACTGTAAACTTGTGAAGACCCGATTTTAATATCACCTTGGAAAGGTGGAAATCTTCCCAAGTTTATACCTTTAGGCATCTATTATACATTGGTGATCGAATGGAGCTACCCAGATAACAATACGGCGTTGGGCCAACGTCGGTCACGGTCGGCAGAGTCGAAGTCGGCAAGCCAACGTTGGCTAATTGTTGGGCCATCGTCGCCATTTTTTACTGATAAATGGTGGCTATTGGTTGGCTATTCGACGTTGGGCCAATGTTAGCTGAACGTTGGTTCATTGTCGCCATTTTCACTGATAAATGGTGGCTATTGGTTGGCTATTCGACGTTGGGCCAATGTTGGCTGAACGTTGGTCCATTGTCCCCATTTTCACTGATAAATGTTGGCTTTTGGTTGGCTATTTGACGTTGGGCCAATGTTGGCTGAACGTTGGTCCATTGTCGCCATTTTTACTGATAAATGGTGGCTATTATTTGGCTATTCGACGTTGGGCCAATGTTGGCTGAACGTTGGTCCATTGTCACTATTTTCACTGATAAATGGTGGCTACTGGTTGGCTATTCGACGTTGGGCTAAAGTTGGCTCAACGTTGGTCCATTTCCGTTTTCACTGATAAATGTTGGCTATTGGTTGGCTATTCGACGTTGGGCCAATGTTGGTTGAACATTGGTCTATTGTCTCATTTATTACTGATGAATGTTGGCTTTTGGTTGGCTATTCGACGTTGGGCTAACGTTGGCTCATTGTCGCCATTTTCATTGATAAATGTTGGCTTTTGGTTGGCTATTTGACGTTGGGCCAATTTTGGCTGAACGTTGGTCCATTGTCGCCATTTTTACTGATAAATGGTGGTTATTAGTTGGCTATTCGACGTTAGGCCAATGATGGCTGAACGTTGGTCCATTGTCACCATTTTCACTGATAAATGGTGGCTATTGGCTGGCTATTCGACGTTGGGCTAAAGTTGGCTCAACGTTGGTCCATTTCCGTTTTCACTGATAAATGGTGGCTATCGTTTGGCTATTCGACGTTGGGCCAATGTTGGCTGAACGTTGGTCCATTGTCTCAATTATTACTGATAACTGTTGGCGTTTGGTTGGCTATTCGACGTTAGGCCAATGTTGGCTTCATGTTGGTCCATCGTCTCATTTTATCTTTTAAATAGTGGCTTTGGGTTGGCTATTCGACGTTGGGCTAACGTTGGCTGAACGTTGGTCCATCGTCTCAATACTAAATTTTAAATGTTGGCTTTTGGATGGCTATTCGACGTTGGGCCAATGTTGGTTCAATGTTGGTCCATTGTCGCCATTTTCACTGATAAATGGTGGCTATTGGTTTGCTATTCGACGTTGGGCCAATGTTGGCTGAACGTTGGTCCATCGTCTCAATTATTACTGATAAATTTTGGCTGTTGGTTGGCTATTCGACGTTGGGCTATTAACGTTGGCTCAATGTTGGTCCATTGTTTCAAATTTTACTGAGAAATGGTGGATATGTTGGCTATACGCGACGTTGGGCCAACCTTGGCTTAACGTTGGTCCATTGTCTCCATCTTTACTGATAAATAGTGCATGAATATATTGGTAGGCTATATGACGTTGGGCCCAAAAAAAATTGCATGCGTGCGCATATGCCCATGTGCTCATGCAATTGCAACGTCCGTCAGCCATATCCTGTCCATTTATCTGGATCAGTTGCCGGGGAGTACCAACACTGCATGGTAAATGAATAATTTTCTTTCTCTTTCAACGTTATATTTGTGAGCATGTCGCGTGAAACTGATAAATTGTATAGTGTGAGAACTCCCCGTCACAAAGCGAGGGAAATAGCATGAGTAATTGTTAAAGTAATCATTGATAATTCCCTGTCCGAATGAAAGTGAAAGTGAGTACGAGTGTACCGCTCGGCGTACGCTTAGCATGCACACCCGCTGCGTGCAATTGAAGTGTGAGTGATGGCTATGATGGCTATGATGGGGGCCGAAGTGTCGGCATCAGATGCATTGAATGTTTGCCGTGATAAATGTTAATATGTTCCTGACTTAGAGTTAGACCAGGGAGGTGAGACTTTTAACTCACATGCCCTGGTTAGACCTAGGTGATGTATTGATGCACCATGTTACAGCGTCCGTGACAGTGATGATGTTCATCCCAATATGCAATATCGACCATGAATCAAATGATTGTGAATCTGTTGGTGTTTCAAGTGTTGAAGGTGCTGATGCATTGTTTGAAAGACCAATTGAATCAAATACTGATCTTGATATATAGAGCTGAATGGGAAGACGCATCATTTTTTTATGCATATCTCAATGATATTATAGTCTCTGATACTTTCAGATTTAGAAGTAGGTCTACTATACTCTGTAGTAGCTCAATATAGATAATGCTGATGATGATTCAGTTCGAAAAGGAATCAATTACGAGATTGGGCTGTGAATTCAGATATCCCGCTAGTACATGTTTCTAGCCTCCTGAAATCTTACTAGAGAGTGTGCCAAGTCTGCCAAAATATGCAAGAACTTTGTATCAACACATTTAGTGGATTGTGAGTGTGATGTGAAAGAGGTAGCTGGTGGGAATTACCCTCATTTTGGCATTTGCAATCATTTAAAGTCGCAATTGGCCAAGAACCTCAATTTGATCGAATAGTAAATAGGAAAAGCTATTGGGGGTGGGAGTAACACTTATCGATCCCATAATTTTCATTCAAAATTTTCATTCACAAATTTGATTATTGCTGCATTTTTATTCTCATTTTCAAATCATTTTTTATTATTTATGCACATGTATATTAAATTGCTATAATTTGAACTTAAGGTAAATATTATTTATTTTTAAATTCTGACGTTCTTTATTTATTAATACATTCAAATCTATAAAGCTCTTCCAAATCCCAATACTTTTTTCTCCTATAATCCCTACAATTCTGAAATTTAAATATTAAATCCTGCATTTCATATCGTCAACTTCACAACAAATTCCAGATTCCTCTACCCGTCCAGATCCAGCTACCCCTACCTCGATCATCCGGAACAGCATCAACAGCACCAAGGACCCCTTCGACATCGACCCCATTGACCTCAACGTTCAGAAATATGGGTATGTCATTTGGCATTTTATTCATTTTGTATTTAGTTATACATGTAGACAGAATAGCTAATGCACTTCGTAGTATTCGTTGTAGTTGTGCCCTGCACACAAAGTACAAATGTACTGGATTAATGTACGTTTGTGTATGACATAGCTGCTAACGGATGCAAGTATCTTTTTCCTGATTATATTGAGAAACTGCATTGTGATCACTTACAAAACTATTCAACAACAACAAATCATGAAATACTGCTTATAGCAGTATTTTGGGGGAAACAATTCTGAATGCAGGGTGCCACAAAAAAAAAACACAGTCAATTGATTTGTTTCTTGTATAAGCAACTAATGATATAGCTTTGTGCTTTTGTGTCTACTTTGAAGCCTCTCGAGCTCTCTCAAGTATTGGGAGCTTCACATTTCACTTCAATTTTATAATGATGTGAAAGAGAATGCCACTCTTCTTCAAACATTTGTCCTAAAATAAGAAAGAATACAAACTTACTAACTTAGGGTTTTGTGTTGTATGCAGAAACCGCAAATTTTGTATTCTTTCATCCATATTTTACTTCAAACACATTTGTTAGGGCAATATTCTATTTGCAGAAGTGTCCGGGTGTTAATGACATCCTCTTTTACATCATACAATTTAAGTGAGATTGTGCCATCTATTCTTTGGCTAATTTTGGGATCCAACACTTAAGAGGGGCTTTAAACTGTTATCAATCAAGCATCTCAACACTGAGCAAGCAGATACTATAAATTGGTTCTTTCTATTCGAAGAATATCACTGTCATTTTACTTAAAATGTATATTTCCTTTGTTAAGAAGAGTGTTTGATGCTATAAAAGAAATCCATTCCTTTCTAATTTCCATACTACTGGGTCATTCGCTCTAAAGTTTGAACGAAGTTATTTTCATGACAGAGTACTTCTATCCATGAAATTTAATCAAAACTAGGGAGGATGTGCCACTCAGGACTACTTCCCTTGAATGCCGTACTATTTGATTAATATCCGTACTATTTCAAGGTGATGTTTCCATGATCTGCTTTTAAATCTTGTTTGGTTTCTTTCTTCTTCTTTTTTTTGCCGCAGATGCCGAAGTTGTACTACCACAAGCTAGACAAGATTTTTATTCCGACTAACCCATTCTTTAAAGGTCCACTGCCTTAGGAAATTAAAACTTTTACGTCTTGTATCAAGACCCTTTTAAAGCAACATAATAACAATTGTTTCATAAAAAATGTCTCCTTATATTTTTTACAAATTTTTGAAAACCTCTCCAAGTTGCTCGTCTAATGGTGGACCCCTCCCCTTACAATTCTCAGAGTTCCTCTGAATGATTGACCAATGGATTAGTGATGTTATATCAAGAACGATCTCCGATTAGGCAAGCTATGGTGCTCGCTAGCCAGCTCTGCAGGCATATGTTTTGTACACAACATAAACAATAACTTTTGTTATTAAATAGAAGAAACTTGTGTTTTTCCCTTTACAAGCTCTGCTCTTTCTTATTTTCTCTTTCAAATTTCCTCTCTTGTTATATAAACATTTAGCGATTGCTTTACTTCACACATTCAAGCAATGTAACCTATCCCTCCTGGAAAAAAAAACAGTTTGTAGATGTGTTAATAATAGATATGGCGACGAAATGTATCAGCATCTCTGAAATGCCTAAGCAACAAAAATGTTGGCAATTTCTCTGAATTTTATTTTTTATTTTTTATGGAAAATTGTTTACATTAATTGCCTAGTTCTTGGTATGCAAATGATGGATACTTTATTAATTTCTTTATATTTTTGTGCTGTACATATGTAGAGGAATCTTGTCATAAGCAATCGTGTTCGTCTGCCAGAAAGTTTGTTTTGTTTTACTCGGGAAGTTGTGAGGATTGTTTATTATATTCGTACAATGAATTTCAGTATGTTATGTTGTGTTACATGTAAGCGACACTTCATTTTATAACAGCTCATATCGTCCTAGCATTCATTGATAGTAGGCCTTTATTGTGACACATTGAGATACCTTGAACTTGAAACTATGTTTACATCTTTTTTTAATTCAAACGAAAATACCAAAGAAAGACGTACAATAATTGTATTCACATTTACAACAGTTTGTTTATTACACATAAAATAAAGTATGTTTTATCACAAAATCAGTTTATTTTCCTTGTTCTTTTGTTTTGGAGGGAGGGGGATGTATTCAGAGCAAATTCTAAGAAGCAAGATGGTGAACTTTTCTTTAAAATTGGACAAATAAGTTGTTATCAAGTTTTGATAGTGATTAAAATGTACCAGATCATACACATGACGAAATTAAAATAACATGTCCCTCTTGCTGCAATATTGTTATTATACATATGTTCCAGAGGGATGTAAGTCGAGTTCTATAATGAACTTTTCTCAAATTCAGTCTAATTTTGATGGATTTGTTAGTATTTCATTTTGTGGATTTTGCTCTGTTTATTTATTTAATCCAATCTTAAACTACCTGGATTTTCCTTGTCACGTTGTGATGCATGTGTTTGAATGATTGTACATGTCCGATGTAGTATGATCTTGACGATGTTCTTATGAACGGACGACTGATGTTGGTGTGAATATGTTGTTGAGTTGGTGTTGGTAATGTCAGAAGGATGTGTGCATGAACTGGAAAGGGGAGGTACAACGTCGGCACATGATGGGCTAGGGGTTGGCATAACGTTGCTTCTACGTCGGCAAATGGTGGAGAAGAGGTTGGCATAACGTTGGTCTAGCATTGGCACATGGTGGAGGAGGGGTCGGCACTTAGTGGGAAAAGGGTTGGCATTATGTTAGGACAACGTCGGGGAGACGTCGGCATATAGTGTAAAAGGGGTTGGCATTACGTTGGTCCTACGTCAGAGAGACGTCGGCACATGGTGGGATAGGGGTTGACATGACGTTGGTCATACGTCGGGGGACGTTGGCCCGATGTTGGCTTAATGTCATTTCGTCGCTGTCGAGCCAACGTTGGCCCACCGGCAAGAAAGGCGTTGGCCCAACATCATATTGGCGACAATGGACCAACGTAACAGCCCACGACGTCGGCACATGGTGGGATAGGGGTTGGAATAACGTTGGCCCTACGTCGTGGAGACGTCGGCACATGGTTAAAAAGGGGTTGGTATAACGCTGGGCCAATGTCGAGGAGACGTCGGCACATGGTGGGATAAGGGTTGGCATAACGTTTATCCAATGTCGGAACGACGTCGGAACATGGTGGAATAGAGGTTGGCATAACGTTGGTCGTACGTCGGCACATGGTTAAAAAAGGGTTGGGATGACGTTGTTCCAATGTCGGAAAGACGTCGGCATACGGTGGAAAAGAGGTTGGCATAACGTTGGTTCAATGTCGGGAGGACATCGGCACATGTGGTCGGATAGGGGTTGGCATAACGTTGGCCCGATGTTGGCTTAATGTCATTTTGTCACTGTCGGGCCAACGTTGGCGCGCCGACAAGAAAGCCGTCGGCCCAACATCATGTTGGCGCCGTTGGACCAACGTTACAACTTACATTGGCCCCACGTTGGCGTAACGTCGTATTGTTATCTTGGTAAAACTGATGCTTTGAATGATGTGCTCGTATAGTACATGAGGCGTTATTTTGATTGCGTCAAACATTCCGCATCGAATTAAGCTGATAAGGGTAGTAGCCCATACGCAGGAACTTAAACAAAATGTTTACTCCTGTTATTATGCAACCACTCTTTGTAGGATACCACTTTCGCGTGGCGCATCAAAGGCTGCAGCACTCCATTATCCATTACGCAGCCCTACGTCAGCTTAATGACACCTCGTGTGCAACATGTATTGTACTCACCAAATGAAGGTCTGGGGGGTCGTGACGTCAATGGAGAAGAACATGTACAGTTGCTCTCTGGCACAGTACACACATCCTCATCGGATAGCGCAACTACATACAGCATGGTTAGCACTGCAACGCATATGGCTGACTGCCAAAGCTGGGAATAAATAGGACAAAGATTACATTCAATTTGTTATTGTGATTCAGTGACAATAACATTATGGTTTTACTGCGAATAAGATGCTACTACACTTCCCCTCTTTCAACGCCTAATGACACTGTTATTACCTTCTTTTTTTTAATCTTATCTTCCTCATATGATTGTATATGATTGTATATGATTGTTATTTTTTGTTTACGGGCCTTACTTATTTGGTTGTAAAGGAAATACAATTTCCTATTGGTACCTAAAGTTGGTTGGAATTTATGTAAATGAGGAGGCGCTCATGCCTGAGCGTTCACAGGAGTTTTACACGTTGAGTACGTGACGTGAGACGCCATTGACCTTATTCGACGATGAGCGAGCTAGACGCCGTTAAAAAAATAACCAAATATATACTTTTTAAAGGAGGTTATAGTTCAGTTCTGTCAATGTAGTTGAGGTTGATGGACGTGAATTATACATTTTTCAATACGTTGTTAATGTATTGATGTTGTCTTGCTTTACTTTACGGTGTCAATGTTCGACACGTATTTACTTTTGTACATGAATTCTTTTTATTCATGATTATTTTATTATGTGTTTGTTCACTTGGAGCGTGACGCGCCGGTGATGCGGTGCATGAGGTGACATGAAACCCATTGATGTAGAATCATATTATGATGGATATAGTGTGTGTACATATATATTCGATTGCATGTCATATTAATAACATAGTTTTCTTGATTAGAACACAGGTGTTGACAGGGATTACTCCCCCTGATGCCTACCTGGACTCTGGTAAGTCCTCCGGTATGCAACACGTCATGCAAACATGTTTCGTTCGCGCGTCTAGTGCTCGTCACTGAAGTTCGGTGCAAAAAATAATAATAAGGAGAAGATGTCTACTAACATAGTTCTAACACACGGCAGGTTAAATAGGAAAGTATTTATTTCCGTTTGAGCCGGCGAATTACTAAATAACTATTATTGAATTCAGACACAGAAATATGTGACCATGATAGTGAACAAAATACAATAAGACGAAATCATATTGAGCATTGAACCCTAAAAAGGCCGGGCTATTTGAGGTCTTAATACGGCCGGGGGGCATTATGGCCCCCTTAAGATCCGCGAAAATTTGCACGCATGTCAAGTGAAGTGTATAGAATAATATGATAATTTGAATTTTTTGAAAATTCACTTATTTGGATATTTATGGTAATGGTTATGGTAAAAAAAAAATCACATTTTTACCCATAAATCATATATTATTCATAGTTAAGCATTCTTTTTCACCACATATATTCATTAGATCATTTAAAATAATAATACGACAATTTTTTTTTGGAAGAGTCAGCTTATTCCTTATGTTATCTCTTGTTTTGATAATTTCTTTTGTATTTCATTGTTTTTTTAACTTACGTATTTTTTTTGTTTTTGTTGTTTTATTTCATTTCTTACTACAATTCAACTATTTTGACCCCTGAACAACCACATAATCATTAAACAAGACCCAATAACCAATGTTTGATCTATTTTTAGAAAAAAAATGACATTTCCATATGTTTTGTACACAAATCACAAAAATGAGCGATTTTCGGGCTGACATGGAAAGACAAAAGGTCACGTGACCTTGACACTGTAGGTCCGATTTTCAAAAAAAAATTGTTTAAAGATGCGCAAGACTCGAAAGAAAAAATTCAGCGACCGGTGGGGCGCCATCCATATTCGTTCCCAAAGAATCGGGAAAATCGTGGAGGAGGGGGGCCATAATGCCCCCCCCCCCCCGGCCTTATTAGGGTTAAGTAGATGAGTGTGTACTTTATCCCACATAACCATTTTGAAAAGAATTTCAGATCACGCAAATATGCAAAGTAATGAGCCTTTTCAAGGCGCCCCTTTGTCAAACCATTGATATTGCCAAGGTAAATTTGACTAGCAGAATGGCAGAAGCTATCATAAGTGACTTTTGTATATTCCTACAGAGTGGTCAGTATGGTTATGGCAGATATAAACACTCAAATTGATTGAAGATGTGCGTTGTGCGTGTTCATGGATCAGAATGATCAGGCCAGGCCTAATACTGCAAAGCCAACAAAGGCATTGTATTGAGCGCTAAATATATATATATATATATATATATGAATCAAAATTATTGTCATTCTTTTAAAGGAAACCAAACCCCAAGAAATAACTTTACTTATTCTGAGAGATTTATTATATTATTTCCCATTAATCTACAAGATTCCCCACCAACGTGTATGAGAGAGGTATAAAGTAAGAATAATGTGCAGTTTCTCAGCACGACATGGGCATCGCCATTTTCTTGATTACGTGACGTACTATGCGAAGTCGTTTAGCAGGTAAATGTATTCAAATTTATGGATGCTTCCTTCCCGGACGTGTGTGATGATGAAGCATTTCATTCACCTGCTATTATCCTTTGTACTACACTTGCCAGAACGCAAATTGCTTAAATAAGTTGGTGCTCTTCTAGGGTAAAGGTTTCTCATAAATGAAATAGATTTGTCAACTGCCATAGTGTATTATTTATAAATGAATTTAGTTACAATTGTTCCCCTGTTATTTATTTTTCAGCAAATATAATTTCTATCTTCTCACTTATGATTTTTCCTCACTGAAAAGTTAAGGTTTCGTTATTGATTTAACAATTCTTTCCAACTAAAGCTTGGTGCATGATACAACTTCAACTGGTACGTCACATTTTTAAGAAAATGGCTGCGCCCATGTCATCCTGAAAGGCATCACATCATGCCAGGAATATCTTCATTTATATATCTCTTGTACATTTTCGTAAGAAATATTATACATCAAAGGGCAGGAATTTATTTCATTTTTCAGAATACCTACATTTATTCTTTGGGGTTAGGTTTCCTTTATCATTAATTATCATAAGAGGTGAAACAGGCAAATTACAGTAACTGAATGTACTTTTCGTCTCTCTTTCCTTATCCCTTCTAGAAGTTGACAGCGGCCCACACATCCCATGTTCTGACTGAATCACAGTAGTAGTCCTTAACAGTATGGCAGAGGCGACTGATGTTTCATTTCTTCTTTTCTGTCCAAAAGTCTGCGATTGCTACCGATGTGCTTTGAAGTTCGGAGACATGTCTTTTTACGGGCTGCTCTCCTCTAACAGCCCCCTAAACCCATGGGGCGTGCCCACCCAATAGAGAATCAAAGATGTTCTTTCGATGAAAAACTGCTGTTACCTTTGCTAACCAAACACCCGCCAAACATGAACAGTCTTTATGTGATTACTTATACCTTATACCGTATGCCTATTTAAGAGCAAGTCAATCATAGATTCATGACGTATAACCCAGAAAGAAAGACAAGCCTAATGATTATCCTGCCTCATACCTTTGTACCCTTTGTAAAATTAATATTTATCTTTGTGTTAATCTTTCACATCAATAATCAGTCAATGGAAACAGTACTGAGCATGATCCAGTACTGTATGCAGACCACTCGATGTATTGGCCCTTTTACACGATGGTCAAAGCATCGCCATTTCTCCAACATCCGATATTAGGATGGAAGTTAGACCACGGGGTCGTAACTTGTAAGGCAAAATAAATGCATACATAGGATACTCTTGTTGTACGAGTTCCTTCCAGTGTAAGATTTCCATACTTCAATCAACTCACGATTTTTGGACATTGGTGTTAACGAGCTACAAGTGTATTTGCTCGTATGAGAATGTTTGTAAAAGTTTTACTCTGCAAATACCAAGGTTCATAGCAAATTTCAAACAGTTTGAATACATTTATTTTTTTGTGATGAATACTTTGTGATCATAACTGAACAGAATATTTTTGGTTATATGCGAAACACTTTTCAAAAAGGCAAAGAAGTACTGTTTTCAAATATTACATTGCCCAAATTCAGAAACCAATACACATTAGGATATTGATAACAGGGGGGCATCAAACTTCTCTTGGACATTGGACAAAGAGCTAAGTATTTGACTATAAAATAACTAGGTTACGGAAATAATGTGTGAGTCCGTAGCAAAATTTCGGGAAAACTCCTTTGGTCTAACGTGGTAACTGGACTATTCTTGCTTCTATTGTACCTTTATCCTGTATTTGTTAAACAGAGAGATGAGGTCAAGCACTTTGAAACATATGTATTGTCATTTTATCAAAGCAACAAAAGACCCGGTTGGAAGGTAAGGCATGTAGGTTATTTTGAAATGCACAATATCCCCAATTTCACATACAATGAATTCAGACCTACTATACAAAGTATTGGTTATAGATCATTATCCAAAGCACTGTGTTTTTCTGTAAATGATCATTCATAAAGCATAGATTAGTCTAGGGTATTCTAACACGTGTTAATGTTATTATTAGAAACATTTTATTCATTAATATGTTTTATTTGTTTTAAAAAGCAAACAAAACAGATGTAGCACAATAATGAAATATAATGTTCATGTACAAGGAATTTTTAAAAAGAACAAACAACAACAAAAGAGGACACTCCCCCTTCCAACAAAAAGATATAATAATGTAGCTTGGAAATACTTGTTTTTAAATATTCTTCAATATGACAGACAATATAAGGTGAAGATGTCAGATTAGATTTCAAACTTCTAATAGTTTTTACAGCTATATATTTGTTTCTTGTTTCCATTTGTATTTTATTTTTAGTTTCTCAATTAATTTAGGAGTAGAACTGTGTAAAAACCTATGAAATGGAATTAACATGTTGTTAATATTCGAAACTTTGTTTAATAATTTCGAGAAAAAAACTTCATAAAAAAACTACATAAAAAAACAAATCATATTGAAAATCTGGTTGCCAACGTCCGGTACAGCTGATTTCTATGCATGGTATTATTTTCCCAACATGTGTAACCATATACTGTTTATAGACCTTGTGAATATCGAACAGTTGGGTCGCCACGACAAAATTTCATTCATTGAAAAGGATATGATCGAAAACCTGTGATTTTAATCACCATTTCTATCGATTCGACTTGACATAATATGTATTTCAAAGATAATATGTAGGTTTTTCGTACACAGTCTTAGCAGTAAAATAATGCCGATGAAATTGGAATTGATATAGGCACAGATAAAGAGTTGCGTGCCTGCATTCTGCAATCTGGAACTGTTGAAGCAACAATGACAATAAATAAACTACTAGATTATTCAATAATCAAAATTAACACTGTTCTTCCCGAGGGCCTGAACCTTTTATTACACCAGCATAACTAGGCTAATACCCATATCCTATACACCTGGTGGAAGAGGGACAATCGTAGGTGACAACATCTTGTCCCAAGGATGTCATCACCAAGGATCTAGACTGGAATATCTCTTATGAGAGTTAATAGCCTTTAATATACCATAATCTCCTAACCGGATTGATGTATTCAATGATGAGCCTTTATCTTGAGGACCTGCATGATGGACATATCCATCAGACATGGAATGAATTTGTGTGGAATACAGCATGGGATAGGCCTACTTTATACAGGTAGACAATGAGCTTGGAGGGAATTTGACCTTTTTGGAAAAAGAAATGCTTCAGACGAGAAGGAAAATGATACGAATATTATACTAACGATGCTTTTAGAAGAACAGCTAATATCCATGATCCGGATTGGTAGAGCAACAGTGTGAGAATGATAATAAATGTAGTCTTCTTTATCCAGTGCGTGAGAAAACTAGGATTGGCTCATTGTTTGTGCTGTTAATGTCCAGTGTAGATATACACCCTTCTTTCCTCAATCCTCGCAGAAGTTTTTTTGTCACCAATTATTTCTTCCAACATGTCAGTGCATGTGAGGAAAAATGTTCAAAGGCGCTGGAAAATGTTGACAAACACAGAACTACAGGAGTCAAACAGGAGACACTACACGATTTGATCATGTTCATGATAACACGTAGACACATACTTCTCAGAAGTATGTACATACATCGTGAAAATAATATGTCCAACAAAATATTTTATGCCCCATGATCACGGCAGCATAAAGTTCGCGAATGTGACTATATAGAGCCCGTGAACGGGTCTTTTATCATGTACACAAAATCAACAGTCCTGATGCATTGGTTCGTTGACACTAAATGAAACGCCTATGTGCAAAGATCAGTGGCGTTTTCATTGTCAAAAGCGCAATCATGCATGAATTATTGTTTATTTCCTGATGAAATAATAAGAACAACGCCTCAAATGTTTGATTACGCGTTCAGAGTCTTTGGACCAATAAATCACAATTCTATGTGTATTATTTATTTTATTTATTTATTCATGTTTTATTTATTACAATTGGTAAAACAGTGGAGGGTAGTGCTTTCCAACGGAGCCCTCCACATGATACAAAGTTACAAACAATAACATAAAACATAAAAACAAAACATAAATTGAAACATCAATATAACTCCATATATAAATACATTTGTACAATTAAATAAACTATTATATACATGAGGCGCACGTGGGATGCACGGCGAGACCCCTCCCCCCCCCCCCCCCAGTAGGCCAGATTCTCGTGTGTTTTTGTTTGTTATTAAAGCATGATAGAGAACTGTTTACATTGTTTCTTAAAATTGTTTAGTGACTTGCAATTTTGGACGAACATTGGCAACTTATTAAATAAAGAATTTCCGGTGAATGAAAAGTAACGTTTTTTTGTATTCTGTTTAGGGTATGGTATTTGTAGACGGTTTTGGGTGGTATGGCGAGTATTATAAACAATGGGTCGCAAAACAGACAATGGTTTCAGGTATTTTGGTGCAAAATCATTCCAAATCTTATAGACTAAAAGACTGATAGAAGTTTGATATTTAATTCTATGTTCAACAGATTGCCAATTGAGGGTGTACTATAATGTTATCAGCAGTTATCAGCATATCTGTATCATTTATGAAAAAAACAGAGACATCGCATATCAACAGTTCTAGAAGACTATACTCAGAGCCAGTGACGTAACTAAATGGGAGCATGGGATGTGCACCTTATCGGTATCGAATTGCTTTAAAACAAACTAGAAAGGAAAAGGAGAAAAGGGGTATAAAAAAATAGAAGGATTAAGATTGGAAAGATATGATAGACACACACACACGCCCATGACCGCTGACCTTCCTTATTTGCATTTCAGTCAGCGAATACATGGAATGAGACTGGTGCCCCCCCCCCCCCCTCCCTAGCCTTACGGATGCCAGTGCCCCCTAAGACTGGACCCATGCTCTGCTTGATGAAAAAATGTACTATTCTGAATTTCATTGTCCTTTCCTGACCTAATTTTAATGGCAAATATTTAGGGATCAATAATTGTACTAACGAGCTAACCATGCACCAACAATGTTGTCGCCTTAAATGCGCTTCACTTTAATTAAGGAGGAGGCGAGTTGGCTCAGTCGGTAAAGCGTCTACTTGTCGAACCAAAGATCTCGGGTTGAATACAACCCAGGTGGATGACTGAAGCCTGCGTTGTGTGTTAACGTGCCCCTCTCCTTGTTTCATAGACACAGGCTTTGTTAAGTGGAAAACACTCCGTCCCTGGGATATGACGTTAAATGGGGACCCCGTGTAGAGGAGAGTCATCACCTTTGCGCGTTAACAACCCACTGCACTATTCGTATAGCGGGTAGAGGTCCACCTGCAAAACGCACTGCCATTGCCTTAAAGGGACGTCATACGTGACTGCCAGTGCCTTAAAGAGACGCCACACGTAGCAGTCCACCCAAATCTAAAATCTCACTAGTAACAGGCTAAAGGAATACTCGTCACCAAAGTCCCCAGGAAAGAAACATCCATAACTTTGAATATTTCAATAAAACAGTCTATTAGTGAAATACGGACCATACTGTCATCATTTTTAGAAGTCCTTCCTTGCTCATCAACTAATTATCCAGATATTTAAATATTTCAATTTGACGTACGTACGATTTCCAAAGGCTTCCCTCTCTCTCTCTCTCTCTCTCTCTCTCTCTTTCTCTCTCTTCTGTTCATACGCAATATAATATGTCTCCTTCTTTTATTTATCTTTTTAGTTGTTTATGTGTCTCTATCGTCCTATCTGCCTCTGCCTCTGCCTGTCTCTGTCTCTGTCTCTGTATCTTTCTCTTTCTCTCTCTCTCTCTCTCCCTCTCTCTTTCTCTCTCTCTCTCTCTCTCTTTCCTCCCTCTCTCTGTCGGTCTCTTTCTCTCTTTCTTTCTCTCTCTCTCCCGCTAAACTGGTCTCTCTCACGACTTGGCAAGATACAGACATGTCTTGATATACCAAACAATAAAAATAGTAACAAAACAAAAGTTTATAAAAAACAAATGCAGGTTTTACAAAACAAAAGATTTCACCTAGTTACAAAAAGGTGACAGGCAAAACACAGTACGTCGACAAAAATTAGATTCGGGGCTCAAATCCCAGGTAAAAAAAAGGGGGCTTAACGAAGGAACACGCAACATGGGGGTAAAGTTTTGCGTTTTGATAAAAACATTACATTGGAAAAAATAAGGGATAATTTGTTGTCCATGAATTATGTGTATAAGCTAAAACAAGAACAATATTTACTAATTTTTTTCAAAACAGTCAACGCAATGAACATTGTTTTAGAACTTTCCAAACACGTTTTCCAAACATTTTAACATACATCCAGAAAATTGTACAAAATCCATCACGTTTAAATTGACAGGAAAATGGTAAATATTAGAAAAACTTTATCAAGATACATTGTGCATTGCATTATAAGTTCTTATAATATTAATGATTATATTATATTTTCTCCAGGAAAAAGATACGACAAATTCTTCATGAATGATACAAAATTATTTAATTTTGCAAATTAATACAAGCTTTATATTTGTATTTGACTTGCAGGAAGAGGGGGGCCATTCAAATCATGTGGCACCAACTTATTAGACCCACTTTCACAATCCGTAATTACCTCACGCCTTGCCTTTATACCGACTTCCCAGTCTCTGCAACTACACTGGTCTACGGCAAACTGGGAACCTACCAGGCAGCTTGCTCTTTGACCCTCTACCCGGAGTCACAAAATCAAGCACGAATGTTACATCAGTAGATGTTGCTCCTGTAACAATGCATCGAATGCCCATAGAGACCATCTATGAAGTACGACCCTCGCTTGCCGCAAAAGAGTCGCAGGAACCAGGATATGGCCAGTGGCTACATCGAAAATGATACGTTGAGTTCGATGTCAAGAGCCATCCAGGGTTGTGAGATAGAGATGGATAGTGCCACCAGTAGTGCCATGTACCACCATGACCTGGATGATGAAGAACCTTATGATGACGAGTAATATGATTATACGTATGCTGATAATGCCAAGATACAAATGGGTTTGGATCGTTTTCAGACGAAGAGATCGCGACCTGGTGCACATGAACACGACAACTCGATTTATGCTGTGGTCCTAGAAAACGAAAAACCGATGAATAGTCAGCACGATGGGGAATATGAACGCGAGAACCATCGCAGTCGTGAGAGTGATATCTTAGCAGAAGCAGGTAATCATGGAAGAACCCACACTGATCCATTCCCTCTTCCATCCGATCGTGCAAATCCACCTTCTGATGGTACTTACACAGCTTTGATTGCAGGAACACAATCACCTTGGACGGAATCCTCATTCCCAGAAAGGACTCCTGGTAGTGGGTGTTCTACCGCACCGGCTACTATTGCCTTAGCAAGAAAACCGTCAATGGGAGTTGCTCCTTCGGTAAGACCAAGGGCGTCACCGGTTGTGAAACCTATTGGTAATGCTACCTCAATACGTCCCCGAGGTATGAGTGACATACCTCGTAACTCATATGCCACAGAGAACAAATTCGTGTCATCTCGTCCTAAAAAAATTATAAGTCAGGTGGATTATAATGGCTATACGACTGCAATTCGAGCATTTTCTTCAATGCGACAGCCGCGACGTCCAGCGACGAAACGAAAATCTAAACCTTCTGTTGAACTACGACAAACACCAAGTCCTACGATACCTCCTAGGTTAAGCAAATCGGACATCCCACCGCTGTCACCCGATCCAACAGCCGATCATAGCATGAAAACTCAGCTACTTCTATTTAATTTATTCATGGATGAAAAAGTGCCTGTGTAAAAGCATGTATATGTAGAAGAAATACAAAATACCTGAATATAGGTTAGAATTACAACTCAAATGTCTACTATGCATTTTTGTTCTTCTAATCCTAAAACATATAATTTACTTATCCTACCACTAATATGAAGGAACAATGCATTACGTTGTAAGCCAGAACCTGATACAAAACTTATATCAAGTATCGATTGTAAGTCTTTCTTTGTATAGATTAAATAATATTTCAGATTGAAAAGTTACCGAATTCTGGGGCGGCAGACAAATGGCACTCCTTAGCCTAAAAGGGATTTTTCTTCACCTGTCTGATGTGACGCATATAATGGAATTACCTTGATGAGGCACTTGCTCGAACCTGAAAGAAATTATTCTGCCTCCTCGCAAAATCCTTCAAGTCAAATTTAGATGATGGATTACGTGGAAAAGGTCGGTTTTTATTCACTTGTCTTGATTTTGAAGGAAACGTGAAAAAAACCGGTTAGCCCTTGCCCCCATCTGTCTCTCCACTACTTGACGATATGATTTATATGTCAGTTATTGTTATTGTAATGTTATGAACTCTTTAATTTGATTGTGATGTAAGTCTTGACGTGTACCAGAGCACACTATTGTAGTGTTCGTTTTGTTATTCATTTTGAAGCTAAAATAAATACACATTCACCATAAATATGGATTTACACAAAACTAAAGTAAAAGAGACTAAATCAAGAGATAGCCACATTGGTATTAAATAACAGTACAGGAGCAGAGTATGAAGAGCATAAACATCCATTATATAAAGATAGCTTAATGTAAACAAAAGAAAATACAAATACATGTTAAAAAAATATTCTGTGTACAAATAGAATACATTTGAACAACTTATTAAACACCCAGTAATATATTGATTATAATATCTGCATAACGAAATCAAAACTAGTTTTGAAAATTGATATGTATATGATAAACATAATCTTTTAAAAAAGAAACGATTGCGAATATCTAGGTTTAATTCAAAGGCGGGTATAAATATCGTTTTTTAATACAAAACCTCAATTAAAAATGAAAAGTTTCCAGTATTGTTCAGCGCATCCCTAAGGTACATGAATCAAAATTATACAACTATCCCAGAAAGTTACAGCCGGATTCAGGAATTTTGCAATCAATCCGAAAGGTCTCTCCTGTGATCCAATTTTGGTAGGGATATTGATTTGATGGGCTTGTACAGAGCCCAGTTTTAAAGACGTGTGTCGTGAAAACCGTTAGCTACGTACACATCAGACGGCATACTCCCGTTTCTCGATCTGCCTAAAGAGACCATGTTCCTATCATTCACGCTCCTTCTGGCCGCCTTGTTGTAGACTACGCTGCTGCTGCTGACCGTCTCGTGACTCAGGGAAGGATTGCCCCGACTGCGCATACCGTTTGAGCGATGTCCCTGGAATCCTTGGTCGCCTGTCACTGGTCGGTCGTGAAGGCTTCGTCCACTCTGTATCGGGTCCGTTCGACTTCGATGCCTACCTGTTGGATCATGTTGAGATGCTGATGGGTGATGCCCTTGTAATTCCATCTGTTGAGATCTCTCTTGCATACGAGCCTGTAAATTGAAGTGTACAAATCAGTAGTAGAAGTCTAACATTGCAAGATAACTTCAATTGCTGTTCTAGTTTTGGAAATCGATAGAAGTGAATTCACTGAGGTATATTGACGAAGCCTCTGGATTGTCATTTGAGATATCCTGGGTTCGATCCTTGCTCGGTTCCTAAATCCTTTGACAACGTGTTTTGTCCACATGTGATATTGCATCATCCATCTCAAAAGAGAATAAGACACTTGCAACTCCCAAAACTAACTAAAAGAAATATTAATAATTTACAGAAAATACAAAACTAGCACTACAGAGGTTAGTATGATATATGATAACCGAACCGTTTCTGATTTGCTAGTTAAGGAATGACTACTTACATTGATTTCTTTACTGAATCGAAGGCCCATAGCGCTGTTCTTGAAGGTCTCTGGGTCCTGATGTTGGTGTCTCCTATCTTCTGTGAAGTACAACTGCTGCATGCCATCTTCATATCGACGAGCGTTCGTGTCGTAATGAAACGGTCTCTTTTTATACCCTTCTAGTTTGTGGAGACGAACACGATAGTAAACGATGAGGACGACGAAGAAGATGATGAAGAGGAGGATGACAATTGTGATAGGGACTAGAATAGCAAGGAGTACGACGTTAGAAGAGTTAATGCATTGGGGCCCGGAGTATCCACTGGCGCAGCTGAAAAGGAAGATCATTCGCAAGATTAAGTTTTACACCGCATGATTTCACATTTTAAAGTATTATCTAATTTCTTCTAGTCATTTTGTCACGTTTGGGAAGGCATTCAAATTATATTTACACAGTAGCATAAACGCAATTTAAAAGCACTCTAATGTAATATAGAAGGAAGAATGCTTAGATACTGTTAAACAATCAGCTTGTAATTTGTATGGTTAAATGATTAACAAAATACAAGCAAATTTTATCGCAATCACAATCGACATAATAGATTTAAAACAACTATATCAATGCGTTTTTACAATATGGCTATGTAAATTAAGTATAAAGTATGGTTATTATATTGTCGATTACCTTTGAGAACTCAATTTAAAAAATATATATATTTATTAACCATTCTTACTTGATTTCAGATTAATCTAGTTTTGTTTATACATATTCCATTTGATAAAGTATTTATGACATTAATGAATATTACAATCCCCCCGAAACATTTCTGAGCTCAACCATGCCTTTATTTGATTTGTCTTTTACTCTCAATATTAATTGGATGTCCGAAACTATGAATAAATGTTGTCATTATTTTGGACAAAATGTAATTATTCCTTAATATAATCATGGCAGAATCAGACATTGAAATACTAGTGACGACATGTTAGTAATTTTTATCGCAGTGTGGGTTAAAATTGAGGAAAAATCAATATGGGAAAGATGTCGTTATACCCCCCCCCCCCCCCCAGGAACACGGAACTTTCATTGGACGTTAATTCTTTATGCGCCACATTCTTTGTCTAAATAGGTACGTTTACCGAAATCTTTAACTTTATCTCAGGACTTGGAGTATAAAATTAATCCTTATAGGTGATAAAGAGGCTGTCATGTAACCGATCAAGACCAGAAGTGGGTTATGCGTAATTATGCACTGCACTACAAATGCTTTGTTATTAGGCACTCATGGCAATCGAAGTGTACTAAATGTTCCTTTTTAAAAATACTTCCTGATAACGGTATGTGTTTCCTGGATCTGAACTTTTACATAATTAGATAAACACATGAATAAAAAGACCTACTCGCAAGTGAAGTCAAAGGTGTTATAGTCAACCATGCACTCGCCGTTGTTCTTGCAGGGCGTGGGGGAACAGAGTGCGTCCAGATCTGTGAAGAATTAACATGCCGACATAAATTTAGGCCTATATACCGCACACAATAACTGTGAAACAACTGACATATCAGTGCGTTTTGATTGATTAATATGATTTTCAGTTTGAATGAATCGTGTGGAAAAGAAATCAAAATCAAATGTTGCGGTAACGACGTACGTACACTTTTGCAATTTGTGTACGGATATTCTGAAAAAAGGATGTGGGGCTTGTCTCAAAGCTGTCCCCCTTTGAAAATATCTTGCCATCCACGGCATTATCGTTTTTTGTATTAAATGAAAGGGAAAAAGGGAATTATAAGAATATAAATATAGGTTAATTAACTGAATATCTTTTGTTGTACCTGGGTCTGAATTTTTAATGTAGATCTTACTCTTATATGGTAGGATAACCAGAAAAATTGATGGTAATAATTCATCCAAACAGGAAAGAGCATGCAGCATTCTCACAGGAAAAATGAAAAGCAAAGTGTTGCTAGAAAGTACATCAAGAGCATTATACACAGACTTAGAAATACAAAATAATGTAGGCTTATGCTCCCTACCTGTTACATCAATTGAAACAACGCTGAATTCATCCACTGCTAGAAGAGCTTCTTCGATCTGTTCTATCAAACTTTCAACAGTTACATCTGACGTGTACATGACGCCTATGAGTAAGTTCATTTGCATCTGGCTGTTTGACAAACTCTGAGCGTTGATGGTTGTCACGTTAACAAGATATGTTGTAGGAATCCTGAGTATTGCCGATTCAAACTGGTAAAGTTCACGCGTTGGATGGGAAAAGAAAGAGAGAAGACGTGTACTATGTAATTACACCGTATTAAATTATGTTATGAAATTATGTTTAGTTATGACAGACTGAATTATCATATTTCACATGCGTTGTCATTTAGGAAGTTTACCAAAGCGATTTCCATAAGCAAAATGTCGGTCTAGTGCTCCTTCTACAGAATAGTCAGAAGGCCCTCTAGACCCTACAGCCCACGAGACAGACATGTCTGACAACTTCGTGGAGAATTCACTTAACTGACATTGTCGATCTCGTGCGCTGTAGGTCTCGTGGGCTGTCGGTCTCGTGTGATGTATGTCTCGTGGGCTGTAGGTCTCGTAGGCTGTCGGCCTCGTGGACTTTCGGTCTACTGGGATGTCCCGGACAATGGACTTTCTTAGATAATTGCAACTGAGAAGGCTTTGGTATGCCATGAGTATCTTACCGTTTCTTGGACTGTTAGAACATCCTGATTGTCCAAGGGAAAAGTTTCGCGTCTTTTTCTTCCTGTGCCTTGAGTATCAATTATGATCGTGGCATTTACGCCGAAACCTGTTCAAAATTTGGGATAAATGTAATTCCAATATTCAATTTCACAATAGACATACCCCTGCTTCACAATTATCAAGGGTAAATTCATATTGATGAGTCATATCCCAGCCATATAACTTGTGCCCAAATAAAATTTAATTTCTGTTCGTTTATTTTTCAAAACTACCGTAAATAACAAATAGCCGATTTACATCGGGTATTTAAACAATTATTATGACCATATCATTTTTAATCTGCATTTAAAAAAAAAAATCTCCTCATTATTTAATTTGACAGATTATGTTATTTAAAAGAGTGAGATAATTATATCGATGAGTACGTGGTAATCTTACAGAGAAGGAGTCCAATAACAAAGAGGTCCCAGACTCGAAACCATCAATTATAAACCATAAGGCATTAATCGTCAAGTACATAGTCCCTTGGTTAGGACGTTTCCTTTCCCATTATATTCATTTCCACGAGAATTGCCAAAGCTGTTGTATAGGTTATTTCCTTAAGATGTTATATATACATGTATTTGAATTGCAAAAAAAATGGGGACCCGATATGAACGACATTGATATCCAGAGTGTTCCATCCCACAAGGGGAAAATAAATGAATTGAATAAAAGAGATAAATTTGAACTTGAAATGCTTACTTCCACATGTAAGAAGTACTTCAATCCATGATCCCGTGGCGTTACACGTGACATTAAGAACACTGGCGTTACCAGTTTCATTGCAATTGAAGTCACAAATTGTCAGAGGTAAGACGCTCCCCTTACAGCTCGTATAATTAGTTACATCCAGCGGCACTGTACATACAATCGCTAAAAGATTATGAATGTTAAGCAGCAAATTATTTTAACGACATTCGTGCTGACCAGGCTCAGATGCCACAGGTGGAAATTAAATGAATTGCATTTAAGAGTAAAATAACTTTGAACTTAAACTTTGAGACGTTACACTTTGTTCATTTGCTGTTATTTTTCAACATAATTTCATGTATGTCTGAATTAGTGAAAAAAGATGACTAAAAATAATTAGGAAAAGATGATTAAAAAGAATGATCGCGTATCGTCAAAATAGTCAAAATAGTTGACTAACAGATAAATCTCTAGCTAAAAATCACAATGTGAAAAGCACTTCACAAAGGTTTGTGTATATTGGATATCATTATTCGTATTATAAGATGGGTAGAAGAATCCCTGCAATTTGATTGGTCAATTACCATGTAATTATTTTTACATTGAGACAACTTTAGATGTTATAAACGTTGAATTTACTACGGCGAAAAGTTATTATATTTCAATGCTAGAAAAGAAAAAAGAAAAAATTGGTTTCCATTTTTGGCCAAATATTTTAGGCCTACTAGAAACATCTGTTTGGAAAGATGTATTTCAGTTCAAATTTAATAACATAAGAGACAATAAGATCAAACAATATAATTTTTAATTAATTCATAGAATATTGCCATCTAAAGACAATCTCTTTATATGGAAAATCGTACAGTCTAACGAATGTGAAATTTGTCGTGAAAAAGAAACTATTGAACATTTTATATTTCGTTGCAAGAAATTAAGAGTTTTCTGGAAAATTATCTCAAGAATTATATATTTCATTTTTAAAATAGAAATTGAAATTGATATGAAAATGTTATTGATTGGATATAAAATACATAACAGAAAATTTACTTTACTTAATTTTTGGATAAATTATGCTCAACTGGTTATATACAAAGACTACGTAAAGCGGAACTTTGGAGAAGTACCAACCAATCCAAAGAGGTTAATAAATAATTTTATTTCATCATTAAAATGTTATTTGAAATACAAAGAAAATATAAAATACTTCGATATTGAGGAAGTTAAGAAAGTATTAGAAATGTTAAAATGATAATTTTAAGATATTATGTTGATCTTGTATATAATTCATGTTTCATTTTACTTGTTTTGTAAATATTATAAATGTATTTTGAAATGGAACAATAAAGTCCCTCTGAAGAGGTAAAGAGAAAAAAAATATATATATATTTTTACTGGATGCACGCGATATCGGCGATCGATACCATCGATATCCTCTTTTTGTTTAATAATTTTCTTTTTGTTTTCTCTTTTTTTTAACAATTTTGTTCTAATAATTTTTTTTTTTAAATGATTTTGTTGATGATAATTATTTGTTTTTCGTGTTTTTTGATAATTATAATCTGTTTACAGTTTAAAGGTAAAGACCAGTTATGGTCATGCGATTGCATTGTAAAAGAAACGTTGTGGAATCGATCAGAAAAGGTTAATCATCTAGCATCTAGCATATGCAAGGTTAATCATCAAAATGATAAGAAATTTGGCCCATTCTTCGTAAAGTTACAAGCACTATACACAGAAAGATGTATATGGGACTACCCTATATCTCTCACAGACCATGAGAGAAACAAGTTTATCAAATATATGAATTAGTAGGCGGTTTCCCGGCAAATTTTTTATCATCATGTATTAGTCAAAACATATTCTTTCACATGATTGGTAATGAGAGCTTCCATTTCATTTTTTTAAATTGGGGCGTTTCCAATACTCGTCTTTACCTTTAATATGCACTGACAATTTTTTTTTTTTTTTTTTAAATTTCATGATCATGCGTCCGGTAATTACCAGACGCATGATTTTGCCATGCATGCGGTAAATCTGTCAAAGAACAAAATTTTGTATTTCTGACAATTTTTGGGGCCCCAACTTATAAAACAGATGATGCACAGGTTTAATTCGTGGGTCGGTGGAGTTGTGTGTACGCGGTACCTTTGAATTTGGTCTAAAACCATTCAAAGGTACCTTGTTCACACAATCCCTACCGACGCACTCAAACCTGTGCATCATTTGTATACTGTTGTTATCACTATCATCATTATCATCATCAGCATCATTAGCATACCGATTGAATTAATTGTATATATCAGGATTGATCAATAATCTTTTACCAGATCCTGTCGGTGAGGGGTTTGAGGATAATGATGATGTAGACATCGATTCTGTTTGAGGGTCAGAAGCTGAAGTACCGGTAGATGGTACGGTCACTGCGTGAGAAGAGCAAAGACAATCTCAGGATTAATATGATGTTTCAGAATTAATAATTTCGTATTTCTTTTTATGAAAACGGACATACACTAAAGATTATCCTATAATTCCTTGTAACTTGATTAAGAATGATATAAATATTTGTTTTTGTTTAGCAAAGAAAAGAAAACATGTACACTTGTATAATTACTTTTGTATACTTTGTAAAATGTTTTTTTGTAATTTACTTAGTAAAATGGAAATAAAGCTCGAACTTTAACCTAAACCTTGAACTAAATTATTAAATTATTTTATCTTACTTTGTTTACACAATTATACAAAAATAGGGTTCAAAAGCACTGAACCCAATGACCGGGGTAATAGTATATTTGTAAAGCGCTTAGAGACATTTGTATTAAGTGCTATATAAAAATTAAATATTATTAATATTATTATTATTATTATTATTATTATTATTATTAATTAATTAACGATGGCTCCGTAGTAGAGCGGTTGTCTCGTATACCAGAAGTCCCGGGTTCGAATCTAAGTCAATACACTCATGTCCTTTGGTAAGGTATCGAGTCCCATTACCGCGTCCATCGGAGAGGACTTACAGCCTTCAGTCACATGGTTGCTTACTTACATGCAGCATACATGCATTCATAGCAATCAGGTAGAACGATCAACATCATGATGAGTATTATCACTTTTTTATGAATTTCATCATGATTATTATTATGATTAATGTATATCATCACTAGTATTATCATTTTGGTATCATTATCGTTATGATTATCATGATTATTGTTATTATTATTATTGTTGTTGTTGTTATTATTATTTTAATTATTATTATCATTATCATGTCTTGTTTATCATTATTTTAATATCATCATTAGTATTAGTAGTAGCATTAGTAAAAGTAGTAGTATTAAAAGTATTATAGTAGTAGTAACATGATCATCATTAGTATTATTACCATCATCATTAGTATTAATATTATTATTAATATCATCAACATTTTCATTATTATCATCATCATCATCAATTTCATACCAAATTGAATTAATTGTAGGATTGATCAATAATCTTTTACCAGATCCTGTCGGTGAGGGGGTTGAGGATAATGATGATGTAGACATCGATTCTGTTTGAGGGTTAGAAGCTGAAGTACCGGTAGATGGTACGGTCACTGCGTGAGAAGAACAAAGACAATCTCAGGATTAATATGATGTTTCAGAATTCATAATTTCGTATTTCTTTTTATGAAAACGAACATACACTAAATATTATCCTTTAATTCCTTGTAACTTGATTAAGAATTATATAATTTTTTGTTTTTGTTTAGCAAAGATAAAAAAACATGTACACTTGCATAATAACTTGTTTATACTTTGTAAAAGAAAATTGTAATTTACTTTGTAAAATGGAAATAAAGCTCGAACTTGAACTTGTACTTGATCTTGAATTTGAACAAAAATATTAAATTATTGTCAATATCTTACTTTAATACACAATTATACAAAAATTGGGTTCAAAAGCTTAAGGAACAATGACTCCGTGGTAGAGCGGGTGTCTCGTATACCCGAGGTCCAAGGTTCGAATCTAATTCAATACGCTCATGTCCTTTGGTAAGGTATTAATTCCCGTTACTGCGTCCATCGGAGAGGACTTATAGCCGTCAGTCACTTGGTTGCTTACTTACATGCAACATACATGCATTCATAGCAGTCAGGCAGAACAATAAACATCTTCTTTAGTATTATCACTTGTTTAATGAATTTCATCATGATTATTATAATGATTAATGTATATCATCACTAGTATTATCATTTTGGTATCATTATCGTTATGATTATTATTATTATCATGCCTTATTTATCATTATTTTAGTAGTAGTACCATGATCATCATTATTATTATTACCATCATAATTAGTATTAATAATATTAATAATATTATCATTATTATTATCATTATTATCACAATCATTATCATCACCATCATCATCATCATCATTGTACCAAATTGATTTAATTGTATATCAGGAATAATCAATCTTCTTTTACCAGGTTCTGTCGGTGAGGGGGTTGATGATGGTGAAGACATCGATGCCGTTGGAGGGTTGGAAGCTGAAGTACCCGTAGATAGTACGGTCACTGTGTGAGAAGAACAAAGATAATCTCAGGATTAATATGATATTTCACCAGTCATCATTTCATATTTCTTTTCATGAAAACGGAGATACACTAAAGATTATCCTACAATTCCTTGTAACTTGATTAAGAATAATATAATTCTTTTTTGTTTAGCAAAGAAAAAACAAACATGTACACTTGTATAATTACTTTTGTATACTTTGTAAAATGGAAATAAAGCTCGAACTTGAACTTGAACTTGAACTTGAACTTGAACTAAAATATTGAATTATTTTCAATATCTTACACATTAATACAAAAATAGGGTTCAAAAGCTTAAGGAACGATGGCTCCGTGGATATCAGGACTGATCAATAATCTTTTACCAGGTTCTGTCGATGAGGGGGTTGATGATGGTGAAGACATCAATCCCGTTGGAGTGTTAGAAGCTGGAGTACCGGTAGATGGTACGGTCACTGTGTGAGAAGAACATAGATAATATCAGGATTATTATGATATTTCACCATTCATAGATTCTGGTTTTTCGTTTGTTATTAAATTGGACACACACAACAGATAAAAATATGAAATGATTTTGAAAATCATTTACAAAATGACACAAAAATATGGTGTAAAAAGGAAAAGGTGCAATGGCTCAGTAGTAGAGAAGTGATCCCGTAAACGGAGGGTCCCGGGTTCGAAACCAAGGTAATGCAGTTATCCTCTTTACTAGTTCCCTCAGAGATGACTTAAAGCCGTTGGACTGTTGGTTGCTTACTTATATGCAGCATACATGCTTTCATAGCAATTAGGTAAAGGTCATGATCATCATTATTATTATCATGTTAAATTGATTGCTATCTAAATATTGTTATCATTAGTAGTAGTAGTAGTAGTAGTAGTAGTAGTAGTAGTATATAGTAGTCGTTTCATGAATATCATTATTATTATTATTATTATTATTATTATTATTATTATTATTATCATTAACATCATCATAATTTTTATTATTATCATTATCATCATCTTCACCATTATGCCAATTGAGTTAATTGTATATCAGGAATAATCAATAATCTTTACCAGGTTCTGTCGATGAGGGGGTTGATGATGGTGAAGACACCGATGCCGTTGGAGTGTTAGAAGCTGGAGTACCGGTAGATGATACGGTAACTGTGTGAGAAGAACATAGATAATATCAGGATTATTATGATATTTTGGTAGTCATAATTTTGTATTTATTTTTATGAAAATGGAGACACACAACAAGTCAAAATATTAAATGATTTTGTTTTTTTTTCATTACACAAATCATTGTTGCTCATCGTATATTCAACCTGATTAAAACTTAAACAATCAATGCATAGCCATTAATTAGCAATTAAGAATGTGAAACTCAGTTACATGTATTTTAAAAAAAAAGGGAATTGTCGACGCTAATGGTATTGAAAACGTATATTATTAGACCTACGCTGTTCAAAATAATGCAAACGTATATACATACAGCAAGTTTCAGGAAGAAATGAAACGACAAAGCGTAATAACTATAACAAACAAACAAGTGACGAACTTGAATGACGCTTTGATGAAATCGATTAAAAAGGGACGAAAATTTGCAAGAGAGCTGCTGTGAATGACTTGATTTTACTTTGACAAAATTGGACGTAAAATGATTTTTAAAAATTGGACAAAGTTCCAAAATGAATGACCAAAGACGAAATTGACTGTTTTATAAAAGGGAAGTTTCGGGATGAGATTGAATAAAAACGGTTTGAAACTGAGTGAAAAACGGAAAGAAAACCTATAATAATCAATATTATATCCTAAATCAAAAATATATTGGTTTTTGATTTGTTGAGAGCTCTTCACATGACCAGAAATATTTCAACCATTTTAAGGTTGCCCTGAAAAAGTAGGGAGTTGAAAACAAAAATTGATAAAGTTCGTTAAATTCAGCAAAAATTGTTAAAATGTTATACTTGCAATTAATTGTTGTTTTTATTAATTTTTTAGATTTAAAGAAAATAAAAAGAAGAAAAAAGAATTTCTTGTTTGTGTTTGTAATTTTTGATGCAGGATATAAAACAAATACCCCCTGCCTTCTTTCCGAGGCACTTGGTGACTCCAATAGTACTATTTGTTTCGGGGCTGCGCCCCTAACCTTATTGTTTCATACAGAGGGGTTCGAAATCACCTTAACAATTTGCGAACTACCTTGAAAAAAAAGTATTATGAAACTGGTGCGCAGATTAATCTTACCCAAAATAAAAACATAGATGGGAAAACATGGTGCGGCTATTTGGAATAGTTTACCTAATTTGTAAAGAAATGAGCCATCAAATTCTTAATTTACTCTTTTGTTTTGGCGTTATGATTATCTTAATAAATGAACTGGTCCATTATGTTGTTTTTTGTTTCCTTTCCTTTGTTCGAAAATGTTGTACCGAAATTTATTTTGTCTCGATTTGTATTGTTTACATCGATATGTTTGCAAATGTTGTATTTTTGTCGTAGGGTCTTCACGGAAAACAGTATTTAACTACTAATGGAGCCAATAAATAAATAAAAGATCAATCATGAACATTCTGGTACGGTACTTACGAAAGAAAGAGATGTTTATCTCGTTGCTTAATATGTATATGTTTAATAATAATACACGACGTATATATTATGGAAACGACTTACCGATCTGGCAGGTCTTGCCTTCATATCCAGGTACACAGGTACAATTATAGTCATTAAAGAGATCTACACATGAACCACTGTTATCACAAGGGTTAGGATCACATTCATCCGTCTCTGATAAAAGTAAGAAGAAATAGAAATATATTTTAAACACAAAGTGCAAATTGCATTATCTCGACTATTTTATTATGAACGATGCTTACATCTTCATTTTTAATGATTTTGTTCTTTAACAATTCAGTGCGTTGGTTTTACGCTTAGTTGAACGATTTGCGACTTGTTTATTGTATCATGGACATTTCTAAAATGGTACTACGAAAGAAAGACACGTCTATTGCTTTGCTTAGTACCTTTATATGTAATAACCATACACAACGTATATAATTATGGAAACGACCTACCGTTCTGGCAGTTCTTGTCTTCATATCCAGGTACACAGGTACAATTATAGTCATTTAAGAGATCTACACATGTACCGTTGTTAACACACGGGTTAGAAGCACATTCATCCGTCTCTGATAAAAGTAAGAAGAAATAGAAATGTATTTTAAACACAAAGTGCAAGTTGCATTATCTCGACTGTATGAACAGTGCATGTATTTTTATTGTCTTGATCTCATTCTTTAACAATTCAGTATGTTGTATTCACATATATTTTAATGATTTGCTATTTGTTAATTGTATCGCGAACATTTCTGGTACGGTACTACGAAATAGTATTGCTTTGCTTTAGTACCTTTATGTTTGAGGGGACCAGTCTGGTAAAATACAGTGAAATGCAAATTGATACAGAATTCGTAATCGATCATTACGTGATATTAATAGTAAACTACTATGAACCATATATTTCTGGAGAGCTGAGGCAATGGACAATCTAAAACATTCTGAGAAAGTTATTTATCTCATTTGATATACAAATTATATGCAAATTACTCAAGGACATGAATATTCAAAAAAATATTGTAGTGCTGGTTCTTTGTACTAGTACTGTAATTGTAATAACGATTTCAAGGCACTTTTTTGTGATTTTGATAGTACATTTGTATGCACAACAATCCTATGACACCGTTTGTATAATTTTCATCATTTACATAAAATTATAATGTTTCAAAGAAAAAACAGAAACTCGAATGATTTTTGACAATTATTTTGCTTGTGACGTTTGTATGTGCAAAAACCATGATAGGATTGATAGGATTGTTTGTTGCATGTTTCTGCCAATTTTGAAATAATTCTGATGAATATTTTTCAAGTTACAGCATTTTTTGTCAAAAATTTATAATTCAGAGATAATTAGCATATTTTAAAGGTACTTCAAACACAGTTTCCTACCATAATTTTTTATCCAAAATGGGATAACTTGGCCTGCAGTCGCGAGTTCAGTTGCACTAGAGTGCCTCCATGGAGGCAGCTTTCTTACCATGTACTCAAATGCACTGAACGTACAAGGCCAATAGATGGCAGCAAACACATTAGTACCCTGTCAGTTACATCTAAAGGTCCATTGCAACACTAAAAAGTGTACAATTTTGACTGTTTTTTTGAATAATTTTAGACCAAAATTTTTCACTTCCGGTCTGATTATTGGCTTTCCTGAAATTTTCTTTGCCCTACAAATATTACAGAATATCATGAAAACAGCAATTGGTAAATGAAGAGCATAATCAAACTACTACTAAAATACTAAAAACAAGAATTTAAGAGATCTACACATGTACCATTGTTATCACACGGGTAAGAAGCACATTCATCCGGTTCTGATAAAAGTAGGAGGTCACAAAAGTAGAGATCAGAAAGTGCAATTGGCCTAATTTGTGGACAAAATATGATAGTAGACTAGCCAAGACGTATGTATACATTATTTTTTGGGGGGAGGGCATATATTATTTTAGGTGTAAACAGTGGTGTTAGGATGGGTTCAAGTATAATTGTCTCACTGGTGCATTGGAGACCTTCGGGGGAGAAACAGTAAAAGCAGGGTGTGAGAGGGGGTCGTAAAACCTTCTTCTCATAACGCATGGTCCCTTAATCTCCCCTCCCCCATCCCTTCCCCTCTACCCCTCTCCCCCTTTTCCTCCTCTTCCCTTTCTCTGTCCATTTTCTTTCTCTCTCTCTGTCTCAGAGTTTGTATCTCTCTCTCCCTCTCTCTTCTTTCTTTCTTTCATTTGTCATCACCAGTTGATGGGAAGAGGGTACGTGCTTCTCATTGGTCTATAGCTACGCCACTATAGATATACTTCTACTTCTACGACGATACTCAGCAGGATCCATAAGTCAGGATGTAGTGCTGAGGAATAAACTATCTAGTTCTTGGTCTAGATGCTTGGTGGAAGCGCTCCCTTGAAGCCCTCCCTTGAAGCATAGGAAAAAGAATTTGAACTTTCTGAGAAAAGTTAGGGGATATTCATGAAAAATCTTACCATTGCACGATGGAATGTCAGGTGTAAACATTCCTATTTTACAGATGATGGATTCATTGTGAGTGATGGTGTATCCTGCGTCACACTTAAACATGCACACTGTATTACATGGTACATTAGCATTGGTCTCGCAGGTGCCATTAATCAGCGATGTGAGGTTCCCTGGTAGTTCCCCGACAGAGCAATCAGCTTCATATGGAAACGAGAAGGAAATAATCAGAGCGGTAAATATAGACACTGTATTACAACTATTGGCTTTCAACTATTTTTGTTCTCGATCACAGAGAATACTTTTAAAAGACAAAATATCATTTTAATTTGAATTTAGCATTTCAGCTGATTACATAAGGGAAAAACGTGTGTATTCCAACAATAGCTTTAGGTAACACCCAAAGATGTAAGGAAGAGCGTCGAGAGAGGGTGGTATCACCCCCTAGTCTATGTGTATATAACAATACGACTATGATTCATGAACATTTTATTAAAGACGGTTTTAATTCAATTCTAACATATCAATCGTGTTAACAAACATTTCGTTGAATATTTACACAAAGTTGCGCAATCAGTCGGAACAAGCTGAATTCAAAAACGAGGGGGAAATCAGAGGTATACTGGATATTGCCATATATCTCTATCACGTTATTTATTATTGCAATAAAAACGTTGATACTTACTATCGACTGTAAACTTGTGAAGACCCGATTTTAATATCACCTTGGAAAGGTGGAAATCTTCCCAAGTTTATACCTTTAGGCATCTATTATACATCGGTGATCGAATGGAGCTAAAACTGATGCTTTGAATGATATGCTCGTAGTACATGAGGCGTTATTTTGATTGCGTCAAACATTCCGCGTCGAATTGAGCTGATAAGAGTAGTAGCCCATACGCAGGAACTTAAACAAAATGTTTACTCCTGTTATTATGCAACCACTCTTTGTAGGATACCACTTTCGCATGGCGCATCAAAGGCTGCAGCACTCCATTATCCATGACGCAGCCCTACGTCAGCTAAATGACACCTCGTGTGCAACATGTATTGTACTTACCAAATGAAGGTCTGGGGGGCAGTGGCGTACCTGGGGTACTCCGTCAGGGGGGGCAAGCGACCGAAACAAACAAAAAAGGCGATGCTAATTTTCACTTCTGATGGCGAGCGAGCGAGCAAAAAAAAATCTTTAAGTAACGTTTGGTATATAAACTGGTATTGTTGCAAGTTGGGGGTGGAAACATTCACTTGTTAGCGACGTTAATTTCATTTTTTTGCAAACGAGCGTAGCGAGCAAGAAAAAAAATCACTTCTTTTTTAATAATTGCCACTTAAACTTGGTTCAATTGTCCCATACAGGGCGCGGGAACAATATTATTGTGTTTAGGGTGATTTTATACTCATCTTAGCTAGCGAGTGAAAATACATCTTTCTCTCCGAATTGCTATATAAAATTTGCTTCATTGTTGCGGGTCGGGGGCGGGCACAATCGTGTTTAAGGCAATGTCAATCCCATTTTGGCGGGCATGCAGGCAACCCCCTACATTTCTCTTTTTAATGATATTGTAACAGGTTAGTGGTGGGCACATAATTCCACGAGCTAGCGAGCGAAAAAAATCACTTCTCTTTTATAGGGAAAATATGGTACATAAAACTTGAGTTCATTGTTCCATGTCAGGGACGTGATTATTAAAAGCGGTGTTATTTCTATTTTGGCGAGCGAGCGTAGCGAGCGAGCAAAAAAAAATCACTTCTCCTTTATAGGGAAAATATGGTACATAAAACTTGGGTTCATTGTTCCATGTCAGGGACGTGATTATTAAAAGCGGTGTTATTTCTATTTTGGCGAGCGAGCGTAGCGAGCGAGCAAAAAAAAAATCACTTCTCTTTTATAGGGAAAATATGGTACATAAAACTTGGGTTCATTATTCCATGTCAGGGACGTGATTATTAAAAGCGGTGTTATTTCTATTTTGGCGAGCGAGCAAAAAAATCACTTTTCTGTTATAGGGAAAATATGGTACATAAAACTTGGGTTCATTGTTCCATGTCAGGGACGTGATTATTAAAAGCGGTGTTATTTCTATTTTGGCGAGCGAGCGTAGCGAGCGAGCAAAAAAAATCACTTCTCTTTTATAGGGAAAATATGGTACATAAAACTTGGGTTCATTGTTCCAATGTCAGGGACGTGATTATTAAAAGCGGTGTTATTTCTATTTTGGCGAGCGAGCGTAGCGAGCGAGCAAAATGTTTGTAATGATAATTGGTTCATAAATTTCAGATTTTTTTGTTGCAGGTCAGGGCTTACACAATCATGTCTAAGGTGATGTTAAATCCGTTTTGGCGAGCACGAGCACACCAAAACTTCTTTGAATAACGTTTGGTACATAATTATTAACTGGTTGTTGCAGGTTGGGGCGGGCACGTTAGCGGTGTCAATTCCATTTTGGCGAGCGAGCATAGCGAGCAAGCAAAAAAAAAAAATTCTCTTTTAATAGAAATTAATAAATAAACTTGTTTTTATTGGTGCAGGTCAGGATGGACGCAATCGCGTTTAACGCGATTTAATTCCTTTTTGGCGAGAGGGCGAAACAACTCTTCCATTTTTAATGATATTGTTGCAGGTCAAGGGTGGGCACAATATTGTTTCCAAAGCAATGTCTATTCATTTTATTCGCGAGCGAGTGTAGCGAGCGAGAAAATTGAATTAGTCTCTTTTAGTAACATTTGGTACATACATTGTGTGTTATTGTTGCCATGGTTGCAGGTCGGGGCCCGTCGGGGCAGGCACAATTGTATTCTAGGCAATGCTAATCCTTTTCTTTTTTCAGGGGGACGAGCAAGTGAAAATATTTAATACAAAATAGGCTAGCAAGCAGTTCGCGCCAGCGAGGAGTTTCGAATTTGTTATACCACTTATATTTTCCTATTTTCATTTGTCTTAATTTTTCAGGGCCGTATGCGGAATATTTTTCTGGTGAGGGAGGGGGAAAGATGCGTTAAAAGTTTTCGAAGAATCTCAAAAGCAAAAGGATTGAAGGTAGTTCGAGCGACCGAACTGGTCATGAGGGTACTTTTGCATTTTCAAAAGTAGAATTGAAGGATTTGGTATATGCCTACACTACATTTTCGGGAAAAAAACTGTACGTTTTCAAAATATCTGGGGTCAACTGCCCCCCCCCCCCCTGGTTCGTATACGGCCATGGTCTTTTTTTTAATTTCCCCATTTTTTTCCTTTCCTTTCCTTTTCCCTTTTTTCCTTTTTTCTCTTTCTTTCCTTTTTTTCTTCCCTTTTTCCTTTTTTCTTTTTCTTTCCCTTCCTTTCTTTTCTTTTCTTTCCCCTTTTTCTTTTTTCCCCTGGAGCCCGTCAGGGGGGGCACTCTGCCCCCCCTGCCCCCCCCATAGGTACGCCAGTGCTGGGGGGTCGTGACGTCAATGGAGAAGAACATGTACAGTTGCTGTCTGGCACAGTACACACATCCTCATCGGATAGCGCCACTACATACAGCATGGTTAGCACTGCAACGCATATGGCTGACTGCCAAAGCTGGGAATAAATAGGATAAAGATTACATTCAATTTTGTTATTCTGATTCGGTGAATCGGTGACAATAACAGTATGGTTTTACTGCGAATAAGACGCTACTACACATCCCCTCTTCCAACGCCCAATGCCACTTTTATAACCTTTTTGAGAAAAAAAAATCTTATCTTCCTTACATGTATATGATTGTTCTTTTTTGTTTACGGGCCTTACTTATTTGGTTGTAAAGGAAACTATTATTGAATTGAGACACAGAAATATGTGATCATGACAGTGAACAAAATACAATAAGACAAAATCATATTGAGCATTTAAGTAGATGAGTGTGTACTTTATCCCACATAACCATTTTGAAAAGAATTTCAGATCACGCAAATATGCAAAGTAACGAGCCCTTTCAAGGCGCGCCTTTGTCAAACCATTGATATTGCCATGGTAAATTTGACTAGCAGAATGGCAGAAGTTATCATAGGTGACTTTTGTATATTCCTACAGAGTGGTCAGTATGGTTATGGCAGATATAAACACTCAAATCGATTGAAGATGTGCGTTGTGCGTGTTCATGGATCAGAATGATCAGGCCAGGCCTATACTGTAAAGCCAACAAAGGCATTGTATTGAGCGCTATATGAATCAAAATTATTGTCATTCTTTTAATATCATTAATAATTATAAGAGGTGAAACAGGAAAGTTACAGTAACTGAATGTAGTTTTCGTCTCTCTTTCCTTATCCCTTTTAGAAGTTGACAGCGGCCCACACATCCCATGTTCCGACTGAATGACAGTAGTAGTCCTTAACACTATGCAGAGGCGACTGATGTTTCATTTCTTCTTTTCTGTCCAAAAGTCTGCTTTTGCTACCGATGTGCTTTGAAGTTCGGAGACACGTCATTTTATGGGGTGCTCTCCTCTAACAGCCCCCCCCCCCCCCTCGGACCAATGAGGCGTGCCCACCCAATAGAGAATCAAAGATGTTCTTTCGGTGAAAAACTGCTGTTACCTTTGCTAACCAAACACCCGCCAAACATGAACAGTCTGTATGTGAATACTTATACCTTATGCCTATTCAAGAGCAAATCAATCATAGATTCATAAGGACGTAGAACCCAGAAAGTAATGATTTACCCTGCCGTATCCTTTATTTTGTACCCTTTGTACAATTCATATTTTTTCTTTGTGTTAATCATTCACATCAATAATCAGTCAATGGAAACAGTACTGAGCATGATCCAGTATTGTATGCAGACCACTCGATGTATTGGCCCTTTTACACGATGGTCCAAGCATCGCCATTTCTCCAACATCCCGATATTACGATGGAACTTAGACCACGGGGTCGTAACTTGTAAGGCAAAATATATGCATACATAGGATACTCTTGTTGTACAAGTTCCTTCCAGTGAAAGATTTCCATACTTCAGTCAAATCACGATTTTTGGACATTGGTGTAAACGAGCTACAAGTGTATTTACTCGTATGAGAATGTTTGTACAAGATTTTATATAAAAAGTTTACTCTGCAAATACCAAGGTTCATAGCACATTTTAAACAGTTTAAATACATTTATATTTGTCATGAATACTTTGTGATCATAACTGAACCGAATGTTTTGGGTTATATGTGAAACACTTTTTCAAAAAGGCAAAGAAGGACTGTTTTCAAAAATTACATTGCCCAAATTCAGAAACCTATACACATAAGAATATATGTGACAGGGGGGGGGGGGGGCATCAAACTTCTCTTGGACAATGGACTAAGAGCTAAATATTTGTCTATAAAATAACTAGGTTACGGAATAATGTGTGAGTCCGTAGCAAAATTTCGGGAAAACCCCTTTTGTCAAACGTGGTAACTGGACTATTCTTGCTTCTATAGTACCTTTATCCTGTATTTCTATTGTTGCACAGAGAGATGACGTCAACAGAGAGATGACGTCAAGCAATTTGGAATGTTGTCATTTTATCAAAGCAACAATGGACCCGGTTCGGAGGTGAGGCATGTAGGTTATTTTGAAATGCACAATATCCCCAATTTCACCTTCAATGAATTCAGACCTACTATACAAAATATTGGTTATAGATCATTAACCAAAGCACTGTGTTATTCTGTAAATGATTATTCACAAAGCATAGATTAGTCTAGAGTATTCTAACACGTTTTACTGTTAGTTTTATAAACATTTTATTCATTAATATGTTTTATTGGTTTTAAAAAGCAAAAGATATAACAAAAAAGATAGAGCACAATAATGAAATATAATGTTCATGTACAGGAAATCATTTAGAAAGAACAAACAACAACAAAAAAGGACACTCCCCCTTCCAAAAAAAATATAATAATGTAGTATGGAAATAATTTTTAAAATATTCTTCAATATGAGAGAAAATAAAAGTTGAAGATGTCAAACTAGATTTCAAACTTCTACTTCCTGAAATGAAATGTTAATTTTCCTTTCTTCTTTGGCAACGTAATATAACTTTTGTTTTTAGTATTGATAAATTGTTTAAAACCAACGACAGATGGATGTC